AAACTGAAATATTTATTAACAATTACGATAAAAATGTTTATAGACCAATCCTATATATATTGTAGATTACTAAGTATCAAGTTCCACTGAGTTCAAGGCATTCTCCGGGTGCTGTCGGCTAGACAATGTCAGCTGGCGGCCCCCAGGGGTAGAGCTTTCTCTGTGGGCGCGCCCACTCTTTGGAATCAACTCCCCCTGGGGCTTCGGTTGGCTCCTGACCTTCCTACCTTCCACCGCGAATTAAAAACATGGCTATTCACATCGCCCAGCCTGGACTGAGGTTTTTTTTGATCATTTTAATGGATTTTAATATATGTTTAAATTATATATTTATACATTTATGTATTTTATGTATGCATATTTATGTATTTTATGTTTTATTGGGTATGTTTTATTTGTGGTGAGCTGCCCTGAGTCCTACAGAGATAGGGCGGCATACAAATTATATTAAATAAATAAATTTAATTCCAGATAAATGGGCAGAAGTGTACCTGCAAAGTAGCCTAAGAAGCTGACTCAAATAATCAAGCACTAGAATAGTACCAGCAGAACTACTTTCAAAAAATACAAACGGCAATTGCAATTTTAAAGGAGGTATTTCTTCTTTCCCCTCAAAATTATCATAATGTTAAAATTTCTGTTATGACATTAATAGATTATCTGAAAATAAAAGCATGCTTTTTGTTTCATAATTGTTCTAGCGCTGCAATATGAAAATGAATGTGAATTAAATCAACTAAAATCTGTGAATAATTGGGTGGCATCACTATCATCAGCTTGCTGCATAACAAATATATTAGGAACACTAGGATAATAATAGAGATCAGGATAAATTATATTTATATACCAGGATTTACAAAATGATTATAAATTGCAAGCTGTTCAGTTTCAGAGAGCTGAGCTCAAATTAGGTGGCACATAGTCCATATAACGGCACCTGGAAAAAGGCCACTGCTACGATACTACCTCAGTAGCATAATGCATAACAAATCCACTAAATAAACAAACAATAAAGGTAATAAATTAGGACATTTTTTTTACCAGTGCTGACTTTCTTATGTCTTTTTGTCCACCACTCTTATATTCTTTTGGGTGTAATCTGCTTATTGGCAGTTGAGAACACGAGAGCATATAATTTCATTTGGCAGACTAAAATTGCATGGCCCCATCCAAGTCACTATGTTAAAAATGCTTTTGTCCAAAGTAGAAAGCTCCTTCTTAGTGCCTCAATTCAGCCTCCACAGAGAACTTGGAAAATTCTACTGTCATACAATCAGTTATCAACTTTGCTGAAATAGGATTAAAATATTTCTCCCTCACTCTTCTATGAAAAACAAAAAGCGGAAAAGTTTACACCCAAATATAAACATATTCACAAAACTCAGTCTCATTTTATCCTCTTCCTAAGAGCAGAATTGAGTTTGAAAAAATAAATTCTGTATGCTACATACAGGTAGTCCTTGACTTACGCGAGCTTGTTAAGTGACCTTTTGAAATTACAAAAGCATTGAAAAAAGTGACAGGATCCTTTTTCACACTTACAACTATTGCAGCATCTCCATGGTCACAAGATCAAAATTCAGATGCTTGGCAACTGACTCATATTTATGACTTGCTAGAAAAAAGTCTCTCAGAAATATGTGATTATAAGAAGTTTCTCCCTAATTATTCTGATTGGGCTGAACCTGAATGGGGCAGATGGTTTGTCTGAATCTTTGTGATACTGTTAATCATACTCAATAGGAAAAATAGCCATATATAAGAGAGATTCAATCATTATCTGGATTATTTCATATTTCCATAAATCCATTATTCATTGCATTGATTTCCTGGTTCACAAAATCTTGGTTAGTAAATTTCATATTCCATTTTATTTTAAAGCAACTCACTTTTTCTGAACTTTTCTGTTTTGCTTGCCCTAAAAGATGGTCTGGAATTCTTGAGCCACATTTCATCTATTTTTGTAAAGGATGCTCTGGAAAATGGCCTTAATTTCCCCCTCAGACATTACTCTTAAACCTTAATAGTCATGTGTCCAGATTTGTAATAAGGGTAGTAGCATAGAATATGCTATATATCTTAGACTTAGTGTGTTCTACCACACAGAAATAGAAGTGAAATGACCATTTGGTCATTCCATTTTTAAAGCCCTTTGGTCCCAAAATTTAAATGAAAGTAGTAAAGTGGCAAAAATAGAAACATTATTTTACTGAAAGATTTATTACAATGAACCATACTTACCCATAATATACATAACCAAGGCCATTAAAATTTAGAGCAACTTATATAATTTAAAGTAATATTATAACTACATCGGTATAGCTTCAAAGACGACTTGGTTCCATGCAACTTCTTACTACAGTCATCAGACACCCAGTCTGAGCAAAGTTCTCAAAAAGGATTCTTGGTGGAACTTGAGACTACAACATAATATCTGGAAAGTGACAGTTGCTAAAACATGTAGAACCCCATCATTTCTAAAAAAAACAAACCTTGAAATATTAGAGTGACACTGTTTTTATTTCCACTGCAGCCACTTGCAGGAAGCATTAAATAAAGTACACTACCCATTTATTGTGATTACAGATTTTTAACCTGTATGTGTGATGCAATACAACATCTTGGATTCAGAACTATAAATTAGGTAGTATGTCCATAGTAGAAATCTTTATTTTATCTTAAGTTAGTTAGACTGAGTCACTCTCTTAGCCATAAAAATTGCAAAACCAGCACCATCAACCTTATAGATCCGTTAAACACAGTGGACTTTATTTCTTACTAAATTTGTATAAAGTTAGGCTATTAGACCTGAAAAGAGAAAATCCCGCAAATGATGAAAATTTTTTTTAAAAAATTAGTCAGCAACAAGAAACAGTTCATTTCATAATAAAACTTGATTAATTCATCCATATTAAATCATATTAAACACTAAAACCTTGAAGTCAGCAAGTTGTAGTTTCCATGACGACAAAGAAACTATCACTGATCAGAAACTAATATGGCATATCATTAGCATTAGGGAGCAAAGAAAACTTGAAAACTAATTACTACCGATAAGTTTGGACTAAAAAAATCTCTACCTTCAAACAATCTTAAAACTATCCTAAGATTCATTTGCCTGATAGAACTTTTATTAAAATTCTATAGAGTCTAGAGAATGAAGTCTGTTTTATAGGGTAATTCAACTAGAAAGGAACATTTTAGCCACACCAATCGTGTTTTTTGAAAGCAGATACTGTCTGTCTCATAACAGAGCCTCTGATTTGATCTTAGCTAGATTTCAATAGCTGAACACATTTTCCATAACTTCTATAAATGTCTTGTAATGTGCAAAAACTCACTCAAAACCTAAGAGTGATCAAATGATTCATCAAGACAATCATAGTAGCGACTTCTCCAACATAGCTGAAGTACTAATCAGAAAGTCCTACATGAGCTTGTCACTTAAGAATACTGTGATAAAAGCTGGCTAGCTGGGCATCCGTTGACTGCCTCAAAGCAAACCTTTATTAATTAGAGATGACAAAGCAGCCAAACCTGAGAGCTATGCTAATTGGAATGTGATACTGGATGCTATAGTGTTGATTTCTACTCACATAAACTATTGGTTCCAGAACAAGGTAGCCTCTACACTTCGACCTTTAACTAGTTTGAATAATAATCATCTCCCAAAAGCAAGTCCCAATGTAGTAGCAAAGAAGTTCTCAGATTAAACAGAATACAAAGTAGTGAAAACTAACTTTCTACACATTGCTCAACAGGTTTATTGATTCTTGAACTGCGTTTTCAGAGATACTGGCATTTGCTATTTATTTTCATCTCTCTCAAACACACGCATCCATACACAGAGAAGAAAAATGTATTCTCATGTTTTAAAGTTGGAATGCCTTATTTTTTTTATAACAAACTTTAACATAGCAAAAAGTTGGAGTTTGGAGTAACTACCTGCCAGCCAAGTTATTTGGCAAGAGGAAGTTTTTCTCCACTAAAACACACTACTAAAAACGCACAGGCAATCAGGCTACATAAGCGAGCCTTTAGAGCATTTTAGATTTAACATCAGCTAAATTTATCTGCCCCCCCCATCTCGACAACTAATACACATAAGAGTTTTCTTCCCCCCCCCCCCAGAAACAAACAACACCGAGCATTAATACAACAGAAGCACCATGCCAAAATACCTTCCCTTCCAGGCAAAGATGTACCTGAAGATAAATACTACATGGTAGCTAATTAATTGCAACAACCACCAAAGCTACAGTCGGAAGCATATTTCTGGCCCAAAAGAGAGATCGCTACGGCGTGAAACTAAATCTCCAAACACGCACCAATAACCCTACGGTTTGTAGCTTCGGTACAAGGCAATATACTCCGAAGTATTGATCACTAAGAGGACTTCGAACACTCGCGATTGCTTTTAATACAGTTCGGGCCAAGAGCAGATTGGAATGACCAGCGCTTCTTCCTTTGCCAATTTCCCAATCCGTGGAACCAAGCTCAACCCCACTTGAAGAACGGCAACTTCGCCAGCTGCCTCCTCCTCCACCACCACCCACGATCAGCTGCACTCCCCAACTGCCCCCCAGACACCCACACAATCCCTCTTTGTTCCCTCGCCCAGCAAATCCTTGCTCCTTCTCCCCACACCCCCACACCCCCCACACCCCAAGGCGCAGCCCAAGTTTCCTCCGAGCCTTTCCTCCCTACTGGCAAAAGCAGTTCCTTAGTTACCACCTCTTGCAATAGTGACTCCCAATAAGGCAAGCCACCACTTTGCCTCGGCTCCCATCATCGCCTCGCAGTCCTTCTTCCCAAGCGCACCCGGAGCCTCCGAGATCTGACCCAACTGTTACCCCCCCCACACACACTCCCTCCCTCCACCTCAACCCCACTTTCCGACTCCCCACTTTTCCGGCTGCTTCTCTTGCTCGTTTGTCCCCGGCTGCCTCTCTCTCCCCGCCCCCCCTCCCGCCCCGTACACCGTGCCTCTTCCTCCTCACCTGAATTGCGGGGCTCCAAGCCCGGTCGCTTCTCGTTAGGGGGAAGGCCCCCCCGGCCCAACCGCTGGGAGGGGGGTAGGGGGGGCTCAATGGCTCCACAACGGCGGCTCCATCAGCAGCGCCTTCACCTGAGGAGGGACCGAGCCCCCCCCCTCCCCTCCTCGAGCCACTTCCGGTCCCTCTGCTAGGAGACAGGCACGGGAAGAAGAGCGTCGAGAAGCTCGAGTGGCCAGAGAGAGAGAGAGAAGAAAAAAAAAGCGCCCAGGGTATTCGTTCCGTCAAAGGGGCGGGGGGAGGGGGGGGAAAAAGCGAGCACGGAGCGCATCGAACGCGCTCCGAAGGACTCGTTCCGTTGTAAGGCGGAATGGGTTGAAGGCCGAGCCGATCGATGGAGAGATGAGAAAGAAGCCGCGTAGTAGCCGGGAAGGGTGAGAAAAGAGCCTCGATCCGGAGATTCCTGAATTGCAGGAACGACCCCGAATGCCTAGCGTATCGATTAGCGTGTTAAAAAACGGCGTTTGGGAATGGTGAAAGGAAAGAGAAGGCGGCGCAGCCGAACTTCGAGAGCATCGAGAGGGGGCGCTAGTATAGTAAAAGAAAGCGGCGGGGCGTGTCTGGGAGCCGAGTACACTTGTGTGTGAGCTTCATTATAACAGCGGCGGTTGCGGTCAAGTATCCCCGGTTTGCTCCTTAATAAGGAGAGTTAACATCCCGTGACGGTGGGAACTAGGTGGAACGTGGGCCGGTATTGGTTAATTTAAGATTGCTCGGAAGACCTCAGGGTTTTCTATATGTCCCAAGCCTAAACAAAACTAGGAGGCGGGAGTACAGTATTAGGAATGCATGCCGCCTAGAGTTAACCAATACTGGCGCACGTTGCTGTTCAGTATCATATTGATATCGATTTATTATTGTTTTTGCGATTCGATGGCTGATTCCTCAAGCGCAGATTCCGGCGTAAAATCGAGCGCGTGGGTTTCCCCTGAAAAAAAAAAAGAGAGAAATGCTGTATGTTAAATCAGTATCTGAATATGCCTGAAGACTTCGGTTCTTGTGTTTACTTATTTTTAAAGTTGTAAGCTGGCCGGAGTCTTGTAGAATCCGGGCCGCTTCTGTTGTTTTGTATGTATGCGTCAATTAATAATAAATAATTAAATGCCGCTTTTCTTTTGCAACAACGCACACGGTTTTATTATGCTTCTTGACTTACTGTTTTGCTAATACGATAGCGTGTGAATTTACACTTCCTGCGCCCCACCAGTTTGAGTCCCGTGTAAGCGATCAGCCCGAATTCATTGGAAGTAGAAACCAACAGGAATCGTATGAGAAGGTCAATTCCAAGAAAGGAGAAATAAAGACGTCAGGTTTCGGGCCACCCAGCTGTGACTTCAAGTAAGCCGATCCCGGAAGGGATTTTCTAGCGTTTTGGAGCCAAGCGATCCTCTTGCTTTTGCTGCCCGAGACACAATGTTTACTCACCACGAAATTGTTCCAGATTAAATAAATTAATTTACTTTTTAGAATCCGATAGTTTCTGCCCTATCGGTATAATTGGAGAGAATTGGCAGGCTCTGTACCCATCGATCAAAGAATGTCACCCAAGGGTTCCAAAAACCATCATCCCGTCTCTTCGCCGATCATTTGGCTTCCATCCTGCGCGTTTTTTAAAAGTCCGAAGCCTGTTTCCCTCCCGCCTGCATTGGATTAATAAGATCCGTGGTAATGCTCTCTTAATTTGATATTAGCTCAAATGTCTTTTTTTTTCTTTTCGGAGTTTGAACTTTACATTGTTCTTTTTATTTTGGCTCTGTCCTGAAATGATACCGTTCGTGGCCCCAAGAGTTAGGGATTTAGATGGCTCTCTAAATTATATTTATTTGCTGCTCAAATAACTGGACATATATAGGCTTGTGAACCGAAGCACGAGAAACCCTCTGGCATTTAATTCCAGCCATGGGGGCCTAAGAAGGTAGGTTTAATAAGTAAAACTGGATTCTCTACATGGAGGAAAAACTCATGCACTCCCCAAGATGGGAACAGAGGAAACAAGCTACTTTCACCCTGTCCTAGAGATGATTTGATAGAAGCGCTGTTGTTTAAGTCTCTCCTTCTCTTCCTTTTTTTGTTCCGAGATGCACTAATTCTCCTTGCCACAGTTGCAAAATCCACAAAATTTTCAAACTGCTTTGAGGGCTTGAGAAATAGAAGTGGTTGGCAGTGTGGAAATGCCCATAGTTAGAAAATGGACTGCGTACTCCCACTTACCGAGCCATAAGACGTACATTCCCTAACACAGTCTTAAAATTTCCAGTTGATTAGAAAAGCACTGGTAGTATAGTATAAGAAAATTCCAAAATTTCACATCAAATCAACCCAATTAAAATGGGCAGTATAAATCAATATTAAGAATGAGTAAGGAGACTGTGGTCAATTTATTTATTTGTTTATTTATTTATTTAGTCGCATTTCTATGCCGCCCAACTCCCAAGGGACTCTGGGCAGCTTACAACAAAGAATAAAACAATGCGAACAATCCCATAAAAATGTTAAAAAGAAAAACATTAAAAACTTTTAAAAGGTTAAAACACATGCACTCCAATTCGTGGCCGGGTCTCACAAGATCATTATAATGAGATCAACGGTCCCAGGCCTGCCGGAAGAGCCAGGTTTTCACCACTTTGCGGAAGGCCAATAGGGTGGGGGCAGTCCGGACCTCAGGAGGTAATTGGTTCCAGAGAGCCGGGGCAGCCACAGAGAAGTCCCTCCCCCACGGGCCCGCCAGCCTACATTGTTTAGCTGACGGGACCCGGAGGAGACCGACTTTGTGGGATCTTACCGGTCGCTGCGAGCTATGTGGTAGAAGGCGGTCTCGAAGATAGCCTGGCCCTGAGCCATATAGGGCTTTAAAGGTAATGACAACACCTTGAAATGCACCCAGAGACCAATAGGAAGCCAGTGCAGCTCGCGGAGAATTGGTATAATGTGGGTGGTATCTAGGCGCACCCACTATAACTAGCACGGCTAAATGAACAGTCTACCTGGTGTGTGATAGTTTGAAAAAATGCTAGGAAGACAGACAATGAGCAACTCCATATTTTTAATGGAAAACTATCTCCTGGAGAGAAACAATAACAATTTTAATATCTTATATTTAACATCTGAACCTATTTATATACAATTTAGAATTGTGATTACCTAATTTGCAGAAATAAGCCTGGGTAGAAGAGGATTAAGTCTTCAGAAAAATACTAATTTGCAGAGGCATAAAATTGGACATAATAGCATCATTTCATAGGTGCCAAATATTGTAAAAGTTTTTCATATTTGTGATAGATTAGGATTAAATGTCTACTTAAGTACAAAGCTTGTAGAAGTTCTCATTTGTTCATAATACTTATTATACCCATAGGATAATTAGAAAGGCAAGTAGCCCACGAAAAAATACACATGAAGAACTATGCTTAGCAATACATTTAAATTTGTTTCCCAATCAATTTTAAGATTCTTTTTGAAGCATTGTCTGAGGAATACATTAAAAGTGGTTGTTTTCATCCTATGTGCGCTAATGTGACCCTCTTTGGAGGGTATTGCTGATGAATTAGCTAATTAAAACACTTTCTCCCACATATAAATGGGACAGAGCAGCAGCACTGATGATATAATCTATGTTACCTTTGTCTCCGAGAATCTCTTTGATCTAGATTCAAGATGCACTTCAAACATAGCAGTCCTGGGAGGGAAACAGAATCATGACTGTCCTCAAATTATACCATACAGTACACTGTTCCTTTTCTTTTGTGTGTTTGTTTTTTAAAGTCACTGCGGTCAAACTGCAATATATTCTGAGGTCTTTTCACCTCTAGTACATTTTATTAAGCAACTTTATTTTCACAGTAGAGTTCTCTTGACACTAACTCAGCCTCATTTGGCATAGCCAGGCAACATTTGGTTTACCAAAGATAATTCCAGATCTAACTTTTTCTGGAGTCTAGTATGGTTAATTGGCCCCATTTGGTAGATCAGACAAGGAAATTAGTTCCCCTAAAAGGCTAAAACTACCTTAGTTGAAATGGCTATAACAAAACAATAACAAGTCTGGTTGTGCTGGATCTCCTCCCCCTTCTTATATGAAGTGGATTAGGGAGTATCTGTCTGAGCTGCTTCCAAATATTATCCAATTGTTCTGGACTTTAAAAGTGCTTCAGCCCCTTCTCCCTAGCTAATGGCAAGTTCCTATGTATCTCCAACAAGGTCATCTTTCTTACCCTACTGTCTGTGCTTGGGGTCATTCTCAGACATTTGGATATGCTAAGTAAAACACTATAGTGAATTTGTAGCTATATAGGCTGGCTAGCTTTTTCTGAAGCTCAAGCTTCACATCAAAGTGGAACTCACACTTGGTTAAACATAACCTACAGGGACAGGATTCACATAACCTACTAGGTTCAAAACCAAATAATACGTGAATTGAACACGTGCCTCGTCTATGGTGGGATTTTAAAAAAAAAAGGTTAATAACCATGGTTTATTCAACTCTGTTTTCTGAATTTGTATATAACAATGAACCTTTGAATGAATGAACCACCTTTAGAAACAACTTTTAATGAAGGAGGAACAATAAATTGATGGACACCAGGTTTTCAGTTAGGGGTCAGAAAGCATTGTTTTTATGGTTTCATTCCCCCAACTCTCCAGTCCTGCCTGAAGCATAAAGGCAGCTGGGTGACTTTGGGCCAGCCCCCTCTCTCAGCCCTGGGAATGGCAAGCTAGTTCTGAAAATCTTGCCAAGATGACTGCAGAAACTGGTCCAGGCATTTACCAGGATTCAACACTGACTCAAAGGCAGTAAAATCCATCCATCAATCACAGGTTGAGTTCCCTAATGTATTGTTCCAGAACACAATTGAAAAAACAAAACAAAACACCAGCAGCTTTCTGTTACAAAATAACAGTCTTATTGGCTCATCCCTGGCTATTTCTTATCTAACGAGAGCAAGAAAACAGCATCCACAACTTGTAACAGAAGGAGAAAGAGTCTACAAAGATGGAATGAAAAACAAGGTAGAACTTTTAGTAAGTACTATTGGGGAGTGGGAGATCTTTCAAATGTAACACAGCAAGTGATTTTTTTCCCCCTGAGAAGCATCCAGAGGACCCAGATTGTGGGGGCAATAAGCTGACTTTGTATAAATATACAAAAGTATGAAGGCTATTGCTTAATGCATTGTTATCCGCCCTGAGTCTCCGGAGAAGGGTGGCATATAAATTAAAGAAAAAAAAAATTAAAGCATCAGCCTCCTATATAAGCTTGGAATGAAGACAGATCACAAATGGAATATATGGAACCACTACATAGTTATACTGGTTTCTGCAGATGAGTTCAGACTGCTCAGGACACTTAATGATATCCAGAGGATTACCATTTATTTCTTCCCAGCTGCTTTGAAGATCAGTTGGTCTGTTTAGATTGCAAAGACAGAAATTTCCACAGCCTGAAATACAGCGTAAGAAAGCTCCAGTGGATAAAACTGCACTCGTTATGAACAGAGGTAGAGTCTACAACCTGATATAACTAGAAGTTCTCACCATATTTTCAGGCTACTGATTCTATGTCATTCTTAAAACCAACCAACAAAATATAAACTTTGCTTATAGATGTGGTGGCATTTCCTGAGATCTCTCTTCAAAGTGATGCAATCCAGATGTATTGTAGAACTTTCAACATCTCCAGCTTGGAGAAGGCTGTCTTGTAGGGTCAGCCATAGTGAGTGGACAAGGCCCTTGACTCCTTCACAGCCAGCAGTCTGGACAGTCTTTTAGTTATAGCCCACCTGATGTCCTTACAATCACCATTAAAGGCTAAACAGATTATGAGAACTGTAGTCTCAAACACAGGAAGGGCAACAAGTTCATATTGTTGTTTGTTCTTTCTGGCTAATTAACTGGAACTCCTTGAGCAACAGAACATCTACCTGAGGGAATAGCCCTGAACATTATAGAAATGACTTCCCTGTTGACTTATCATTTTGAGACAATGGGCAAACATTTTGTTTCATCACCTTTAATCTCTCTCCTTGATTGTACTTGTTTGATCCTGGGGTTCCCCCATTGGCTAGGGGGACAGTGGAACTGAGAAAATCAGCATTGGGCATGAGAAAATAAAAGGGCAGCTCCTTTCTTATTTGGACTCTTTTTAAGGTCCTGAAACAGCTTCTTGTAATTTTGCCCCCTAGCTATGATCAGGGATGCTTATAAGGGAAGGAGTACATGTTCTTAAGTATCAGCCTTCCCAGATAAACCAGACAGGAAACAGGACTAGATGAACTAATTCTATTTTATTGTAAGGTTACATTAAAGAATCTTCTAAATCTAAAGGTACAAATTCCCTGTCATCACTTTTAACTGGCTGATCAATTAGGGCAGGTCCTTCCTAAATTTCTTCCTCTGATCATTAAGGTCTTAGGGTCTCTCCCCCTTCTTTTGCCTGGTTGTTTCTTAGGCAGCATCTTTTTCCTTCGTCCCCCAAGGTCATTCACACATTTGATTATACTAGGGCAGTTCAGAAAGGAGAACTCTGGGCTGCCATCACATTATTATAGCAAAAAACATTATTTCAGTTACGTATCCATCTGTTATGTATTAATTTGTATCTCACTATATGTATTGCCCAGGTTTTGACTGTCTAGTTTTTGTGAAACAGTCTGGAGAATTTTTGCAGATCAACCCCAGAGGAAGGGCAATGGTGAGAGAAATCCGATCTTCTCACTGGAATTTCTTAAAGCCAAATACATCCACCTTATTTGCCATGTTATAAATACAACCAAGTTAGAAAGTTAAAAACAAAGGAAACAAACAAACAAACAAAAAACCCCTCTAACATTAGTTTTCCATTTTTTTTTTCAGAGACAGTGACTTCAACCCAAGAACAGAAAGACTTAACTTGGGTTGGTCTCCATTAAAGGTGAAAAGATATGGCAAGTTCCCCATTTCAAAATTTCTGAATTTTGACTTGGGAGATTCCATGTCCGTTAGCTCTTATCCAATATATGTTTGTACTGGGTTTCCAAAAATGCTTCGGCTTTGCTTGAATCATGATGCCGTATCAAGCCAGCTTTCTCAATGCAGCACCGCTCGAGGTACTGCTCTGCATTCAACCATTTCCAAGTAGTTAATTTTGGCCTGAGAGTGAGAGTTATCATGATCCAACATCAGCCTACATGGAGTTAGCCTCTGTTGCTGAATTACTGAAAGGTCCTTTCTCCACCACTGATGATCCTGGGATCCAAGATATAACCGAGCAGAAGAGTTTATGAGCAGTTAGCTCAGCAAAAGTAAAACAATTCCCAATTGTTTTTTTCCTTACAAAGTGCTATATGTGGCAGTGAGGAAGATCCATTTAGCCCTAGACTTTCTACAAATCCCCAACAAGAGGAGAGAATAATTGAGATAAAACCATTTCCTACCACTCCCAATAGAGGGCAGCAAATAGTATCTTTTAAAAAAAAGGGTAAAAAAAGCACACAAACCACTTTTTATGGGAGGATGCATGCTTTCTTTTTGTTTGTTTGTTTTAACCAAAATTAAATTCCAGAGCTTGGGAAGTGTTATAAGAGAACTTTCATCTGATACTTTTTCATTCTGTTTTTTGGCTTTAGCCTATTAAAAATGGGAAGACAATACGTCCACAGCAATGCTCTCCCTCCATTAACCCTTTTCTCTACCATTGAGGATTGATACAGCCGTGCTGCAGTGCTGACATGCAGGAGAACTGCAGACAAACTCATCACTCAACGTGGAGGAATCAATGTAGCTGCTGTCTTGAACTGATGCCCAGAGCAACAAAGCAATCAGAAGAGCTTCTGTAGGACCCCCTGCGGGCAAGCCTGATCCCCCCCCCCGCCCCAGCTGTTTTGATCTACGGCTCTCAAACAGGATGGCCCTGAGTGAAAGGGAACAAAAAGTAATGTAACAAAAATTCAATGTTGGGCAGCCAAAAGGAACTCGGCCCAATGATACCTTGAGCTGTTGTGTGGTTGGTTTGAACTAGAATGTTTTGTGAACCCAGTTATAAAACATGGTTCATAACTTCATGAGTCATACAGCACCATTTATGGCTTATTAGCTCATGGTTAAACTAGGGTTTAGCACCTTATAGGAAGGTCCACAGCTTCCCTTCCCTTCCTCAATGCTGAGATACTGAGCCTTGTATCTTGGATTTCGGACAGGTGAAGGACCGAAGGTCGCAAAAGCTGATCACATCACCCTCGAACACTGCAACCATCATAAATATGAAGCAATTGCCAACCATCTGAATTTTGACCATGGGAATGCTGCAACGGTCATAAGTGTGAAAAATGGTCATAAGTCACTTTTTTTAGTGCCATTGTAAGTTCAAACGGTCATTAAATGAATGGTTGTAAGTCGAGGACTACCTGTATCAAGAAAGGTGATAGGAAGATAGAAACATGGTCACGATGGCACAGAGAAGATTTCTTTGTAGGAAAATGAATCCCGGCACGGCCTGGAAGAAAAATTAAATATTTGCTACCACCAAGAGCAGCAACTCGTGTGGCAATATGAGCCCCTCTGTGAAGCTCAGGCTATGCAAAGAAAATGTTAACTTTTTCTGCCTAAAGCCCCCCTGCTTGCCTGCTGTTTTTCGTAAAACAGGATCCCCCTATGTAGCAGCCTCTCATCTTGATCCATTCTCTCTGTGAAACCTGCTGGCTCAGGAGACTTAATTTAAAGTGTTTCTCAAAGTGCATGTCCGGGCCTTTCTCTACAAATAAAGAACATGGGTTGGTCCCCAGACAAGAAAAGAATTCTAGTGAGGATAACAGCTGATGAAATCTACTCTTCTCCCCAGACTGCCAATGGCTCAAGAATCCTATTCAGTTTTATACCTGGGACAACTAATCTATTTTATGTAAAAATGAGAAATTAGAAACAGCTCTTATTTCAGCAGAATCTGGAGGTGCACTAACCAAACCAAGAAATTATACCCAGAACAGAAAGGCAGGGCATGTTAGAGGTCTCATCAATTAAGGATTATTATCTGGTGGGACCACAAAAAAAGGTCTTCTCACTGGTGGTCCCTTCTTTATGGAACATTATTCCCCAAAAGGAATGGGTGGTCCCCAGCCTGCCGCTTTTCCAAAAAACCCTAAAAATGTGGCTTTGTCAGGAGGCCTGGGAGCCATGAATGGAAGATGGAGACAATCAAATGGCTGATTTGATTGTCTTGTTGCTGTCATGGGGGTGGGGTGGGTTTTGTTACATGGTGGGTTTTTAAAAATCTTATTAAGTCATCTGGAGTTATCTCTGTGTGAGTTGGACAGCTGTCTAAAGTTGTTTACTAAATAAATAAAATTATAGCAACAAAATTAATGAAGGCATGCTGACCAAGGTTACAACTCACCAACATTTGAAATACAGAGGGGAAACCACTAAGCCAGGCATGAGCAAGTCTGTGTTTCTTGAGAGTAGATCAAAGCAATTGGGAAGAACAGGTTTTTTTATGCCAATATTACAGATTCTAGGCGACCACAAAACCTGCCCAGAATAATAGTTTACAAGAGTTGCTGTGGTGTATTCATGCAGCAAGAACTGATTGGCAGACTTGACGTGGGGCAAGGCTCCCAGGTCTTTAAAGGAAAATGCTAAGTTTCCGATACTCCTCAGCGTTATTTGTGAGAAAAATATCGACTCCTCAAGTTCTCCCATAAAATAGCTGAAGGCACTAAATACGGCAAGGCCACAGTTGGCATCACACAGAATGGAGAAAGCAAGCTAATAAAATGGCCTATGTTCCTAAAAAGATGGGTTATTTAGTTTAGAGTCAAGCGCTCCAAAACCATTAATAAATCTTTGGAGGGGTACCCTAAAAAAGATCTCCAGCCAGCAAACGCTTTGGTAAACTTTGACAACTGAAAGAATTCTAAAGAGTATAAAAGTCCAAATCCAAAATTCCTGAGGAAAGTGGACTCCGTTAAGGAGAAAGTTAAGTGAAGGAGAGCAAGCAACACTTCTGAGACCAACACACCCTTAGAAGAAGAAAATAAACACCTTAGACTATAACCTCTTTACGACCTGTGGACTTCAATTCTCAGAATTCCTAAACCAGCATGGCTGGTTCAGGAATTCTGGGAGTTGAAGTCCACAGGTCGTAAAAGGCCATAGTTGCCCATCCCACCCCTGCCTTAGCCCCTAAACTGTACAATCACAGGAATTGCACAGAGAATGAGGAAAGAAGACCAGAACCAGACCACTGTTCAAGGACTCAGCTCTTCTTCTTGGTTTCTTCCAGGAGCAGGGGCTAATGTCCCTGCAGCAGCAGAAAAAATTAGAGAAGCCAAGATGCAGTCCTCAATGCTTCTAGGCCCAGTCAGGCCTCTCACTCCTCTTCCACGGGGACACGGACCTGATGCCAAGCATTGTTGAGGACTCCCAAAATGTTCCAGAGTGGTTCCACACGTTCAGGTTGCACATTGTAGCTGGTGTCCACAGCCTTGCAGACAATGTTCAACTCCTTGGTTCCAGGAGGCACAAAAGTATCCAGCTGCCAAAGCTTCCAAGCCCAAGCTTGGCCAGGCAGCTGTTCCTCACCAGTTAGCGTTGCCTCTTGCCAGTTTTTCCCACCATCCAGGGAGACATCTACACGGATCACCCTCTGCCCCCCACCACTCCAGGCATAGCCCTTCACCTTGAGCTCCCCAGGAGAGACAGATGTCTTAGAAGATGGCTCAGTGATGGCAGACTGGATGGGCATCTCTTGAATGGCAGGTGCCTTGGAGAAATCCACTGTCTCCCAGGTTACGGAAGAAGAAAATCCTTTGTAATCCTTTTGCTGCCAGTGGCTTTTGCTTTCCTCTGGCCCCACTGTAATCCGAGCCACCCATTTTACATGACGAGCCCCCACCACTCCTGGCACAATAACTCTCAGAGGAAACCCATGGTCTCGAGGCAGCTCCTCCCCATTCATCTCATATGCCAAGAGGACATCCACATCTGGACTCATGGCTTTCTGAAAAGGGATAGAGGCTCCATATACAGTGCCACTATGATCCTTGTCCAGGCCCTCAAAGGAGACATGGCCGTCATACCCTGGTTGATACCCAGCTTGCATTAGAACATCCCGAAGCCGGGCACCACCCCAACAGGCATTGCTAATGGCCCCAATGTTCCACCCGAGCCGGTTGGTATTCTGGACGGCGTTTAACTCTGCCCGGCGATTGCCAGCACACTGTATGGTGGCAGTAACCTCGTACTTTGGAAAATTCTGCTTCAGATCTTGCAAAGAGAAGGACAGGGTCTGTCCAGAGGGACTCTGAATACACAGGCGATAGGCTTCAGGGTCCACAACTGGCACTGGGAGATGGTTACGCTTGAAGAAGAGCTGGTTAGGGGTCAAAAAATATTCTGCCAGTAGCTCTGGCGGAGGTTCTGCATTGTAGGGCTTGAGGGTATTGACTCGGAGGGCAGGGTGGCGCGGAGGATCGTTGGCATAAGGGTCATCTGGGCTTGGCAGAGGAGGCTCTTCTGGGCTCAGCTCTCCTATCTTATATTCTTGAAGGATCTCTTGGACATGATCTTGTTTATGCATAGCATAGAGTGCCCAAAAGGGTTCCAAAGCCCCGCCTGCTGCCAGAAGAATCTTGCTTTTGCCGCCAGGGTGAAGCTCTAAGAAATTGGTGACATCAAAAACATCATTGCCGTAAGTCACCCACACCCGATTTGCTTCATTATGATGGCGGGCCACTTCTTCTCGGGTGAAGCGAGGGAATGAGGTAGTGGCCGTTGGAGGCTCAGCCGTGGCTGCCTGCGAGAAAACCAAAAGAGGCAATCAGGAAAGGAACAGTACACGGGGATTTGGAGCTGGCACATTCCAGCGACTCTCTTTGCCTACTCAGATTCCTCTAACCAAATTGTTCAGACTGAAGAAGCTGCTTGGATGGACAACTAAACGTCTCAAACCAACAAGGAAATAAGTCCAGCCGTCATGATTTAACTTCTTCCAGATAATTCTATCTGGATGACTATGAATCTTCATTGACAGTATTCAGAGATGTTTCTCTCAACTCAAGAGGCCTACCAGGCATGGTTTGAAAATGTCCAGACCACAATCCAAAAATAGGGGATGCCAGGGCCTACATGGGGGTGCAGTTTAAGCAGTTTTAAGCAGCAAAATGGCTGCCTGTGGCATCTGTGCCAAGCTAAGGAGGGAACTAATATTTGACTCTATCCATTCTTTGGCCACAAAAGGCCTCACAGTGACTGCATGTGGGACATGCCTTTTGGGCCCCTTCAGTAATAGGGCCTTTCAGTCACTATTTCTTAAGCATTTAGGAAGTCTCAACTGAAGCAAAGTTTCAACACCACCCTTCCCCAGCAGCCTGAAGACTTCCTCATTCCATTCCTGTGTGACATGTAGTGCCATCTTTCACTCCCTCACCTGCCAATGGTGGTTTCCATAAGCCAAGATGCTGCACACACCCAGGCCTGCTCCCGCTGCTACCATCAGCCTGCGCCTCCTGCTGCCAGCACTGTTCCAAGTGCTATGGGCACAGAAGGGGAGCCGCACCCAATAAGTGGGAGGACAGTTTCTCCAAGGCATCTCTCTTAACCTGTAAGGAAAAAAAGAAATGCAATACTTTAAGAAGACATGTACACCCAGAAACACTCCACACAAGTTGAGCCTTTCTTAATGAAAGATCAGAGAAATATCATAATAATTTCTCAAAGAAAGACAATATGTCACCTACTATCTTAAGAGGTCTCTCAAAACAGAGGGAGGAAAAAAAAGAAGCTAGAAGCTGTGTCTCTGAGCATTAAGGACAAGGAACATGGATCAGCTGTTCAGTTGAACTGCTACCCAGTTTGCATAGTTCCTGGAACTAAACGATTGTGGTCCACAAAAGATAGCAGGCCAAATCAGACGGATGCTTGATCCCGTCTAGCAGGGCTGCTCTATGGTCTGAAGGGCTTCAGGTTACCAAGCAGCCTGCCAAAGCTATTTTACCTTCAGATCTTCATGGATGGTAATGACAAATGGTTCTCAAGTTGAGTTTTACAAACCATGGTTGAGTCCTTTCTGATCCTACAAAGCACATATTCTATTCTGCAAGCAGCCATTTAAGAAGAGGTGTCCTTTAAATGTACTGGGTCACAACTATGAGCTTTTTGAATGTGATGAATCATGTGCCACACTTACAAAGCCTGTGATGCAAACAGAGAAAAGCAACGGCAAAGGAAAGTGTAGAAATCCATTACTGGAAGAAGGAGGAGGGGGAGAAAGCATTACAGAAGGCTGCCAGGAAGCAGAGGGAACTCTTTTCTGGTCTCCAAGCAACAAAACCTAAGAATCCCCCTAACCTGCTTTCAAATAAATCTTAAAACAAAAGGGTGGTTTCCTATTTCCAGAGAGAATAGTGTGAACAGGCAACCTAGAGGGTGAGTTGCCAGATCTCCAACGCAAGAGTTTGTTCAGTTCCTTGGCTGGCCTTCTTGACTTGGCAGAGTTCGGCTTTGTTTTTGAGAGCAGCTTGCATTCACCACATGTTGCAAGCTTCTGAAACATTCAAAATAAAGTCAACAAGAAAGCACCTTCCGGATTATGATTAGAAAAAGGAAAAACATTTCCCTGAAAGCAGGGGCAAGGAAAGTTTTTGCAATTGAAAGTTTTTGCAATTTTCTTTAAAAAACAACAACATTTGGGCCTTTAAAGTCAGAATGAGTTTGGCCTCCAAGACTGCAATATAACCAAAGCACATGGATCCAATTTTTCAAGAAGCTTAACATGTCACTGCCGGCTCTATTTTAGCATACACAAAATCCAGCAGTACACTATCAATTATTTTTTAAAAAAGGAAACTTTTCTGCTAGGCTTGGATTGCTCAATCTTTGTAGAAGAGCCGAAACATTTGAACATGACTTTTGCAATCAAAAGCATCGGAGTCAGATATCTGCTTTCCAGGAATCTCAAACATTACTGATTAATGTTTGCCTCCACTCAAGGTGAAAACGAATGAGCAATAAAAAAGATCTCTAAGTTTGTATCCTTGGTCTGGAACTGTAGAGGCAGAAGCCCTGCTAAAAGGGAAAGGAAACGTTTATAGATAAGATTAGAGGCCTATATATATCAGTGCAAGGAGCCAAGGCAAACAGACTGAAATAATATTATTTAGGTAAATTGGGGTAAGGTGTCTGGATTTGTTTTTATGAAGTTGTACATTTTTTATTAATAATCTGTAACACTATCTGAGAGGGAGGGGAAATGGCAGGATAGAGTTGGGACAGGTTTGAAAAGAGAACAAGAAGAAGTTGATAGACCAAGATAAGCTCTTGCAAGACTACTATTATTTAATCAAACTGATTTAGTCTTGCCTGAGATTAAAATTTGGGTAATTTAGACTTTTTAAAACAGTATCAGCAGTCTAAAAAGAAAACCTTTTGAGCGTTACTGTCTTTTTTTCAATCATCTAAGGCAGGGGTGTCAAACTCGCGTTATCACGGTATCGTCATGGGACGTATCGGGACTTTTTCCCCCTTTGCTAAACCGGGTGTGGCCAATACGTGACACATCCGGTCTGTGGGCCAAGAGTTTGACAGCCCTGCTATAAGGTATCAGTAATGTAGAAACAAGTTCACTGTCTAAAAATAATTCTAAAAGGAAATGGTCAACAATGATATTCTAATAACTTATGAGCAATCTTAATATAATGACACAATGAATATTGAGGTTATTTCATTATTCTTCTTAGCTGAACCCCTTCTAACTTCATCAAGACAGCATTAATAAAAAGCATCTCTGATAATAACTTTTAATTATTGCCACCATGTCTAAGATTCCAGTTGACAAAGTGTTCTGGACTGTAGCTTTTTGCATCCACTTTGACAGAATTATAGGTAGCAGGAATTCTGAATTTGGATGCATTATTCAGAATTAAAAGTTTACCTTCACTATAAATATGCTTTCAAATGAATAACTCTTTTTTCATACCAGCATGTTCTCTGAAGGGTACAGAAACCATTTCCGCTGGATCTGGACAGCAACATCTTCCCCAAATCTATATGCAAAAGAGAGAATCAGCAAAAGTTATTACAGAAAGGGGGGAAAAATCTCACAAATGCCTACTATAGGCACCTTTGAAAAATCATATGCTTCTCCTTAACTTTACTGCTGGCAAATACATACATTGGTTTAAGCTCGGTAAGCATTATAAGTCAAAATATGGCTGGAGATTAGCACAGAAAATATTCAAATCTATTTTTAAACAGCTATTCCTAGAAAGCAGTTTGGAAAGCTAATTGTTATCAGGACGTGCCAAGATGATGGATATGCCCATTAAATAGTCACTTCACTAGTATGCTGTTGAATGAAATATATATATATATAAAACCACTAAATTACAGGAAAAGGATGTTAGGTTTCTTTTTAATAGATGCTTTAGTTCTTATAGTATTGGCCCAACTGGTTCCATTTGGCAGGATTGGCATGCTCCAGGTTCCATCGATTAAGCAATGGCATTTACTGAAAATACAAGTGTATTTTCTCTGCTGCCCCTGCCCTCTGGACTGAGATTCCCCCCCCATCTCCCACCCCAAAATTCAAATGGCATCCACCCAACTAGGATTTTGAAGGGCCTTTAAAGACCTGGCTCTTTGTCCAGGCCTTTGAAGAGTACAAATGATACCCTTTTCTTCCTTTCTGTTTCTCTTTGCCACTGTTTTCCCTTTGTCTTCTATTATTTATGTTTACTCTATTGTTGTTTGTTTTTAAAAAATATTTTAACAATTGTACACCGCCCAGAGCTGCTGGAAGTTGGGCAGGTATATAAATGCAATAAAATTATTATTCAATTCATGAACAATCCCAATCAGAGTAGGAAACAGCAGTCTTAATTTTAGGCAAAACTATGCAGCTCCTCCTCCTCCTCAATTTGTTTTAATAACAGGAAACTTAAAAAGTAGTTTGCCAAGTTTGTATATTTGATGGGACGCTACAATTCCTGTAAAAGCTGTAAATTTTTGTATACAGGCAGGCAGGCAGGCAGGTTTGAGAATAAGATTCAGGGAAGCTGTTCTTCATCTGATTTTGACTAAGCAAAAAGCATTTAGCCTAACTACTTATTGTTTTTTTTAAAAGTGCTCGGATATAACCCAAAGATCCTATCATAGAGTAAGTTTTTAAAAACAGCCCTGAGAGACATTCAGCTGCAGTTTCTGCCAGCCCATAGTTGAAAAAAAAGACACCAACAGCTGTTGGGGGATAAGATAAGAGAGTATTACTTTCTGCAGCAGATGGAAAATTGGGAAACTAAAAGCAGAGCAGAAGACCTAGATGGGCAGATCTCCAAATAATAACTGAGCAACTCTATTTTAATTGTGCAACATGTTCTATTTCTAACGATAAAGAATTATTTTATTAATTCATTCAATTTATCTCAAATTAGTGACTATGGCTAGCAAACCATCATCAAAACAGTTAACCAACAGTTAAAACACAATATAAAAAGAGAAAAACAAAATAAAATTAAGTACAAGTAGAAATGAAGAGATATTATAATCCAAAGGTGCCAACAAAACCAGCTGACAACTCACTCCAAACTTCAGATCAAGTCACCTGGCGGCCTCGTGAAGATATTAAATAAGAGGAGAGGTCATAAGTCACTTCTATCAGTGCCGTTGTAACTTTGAACGATCACTAAATGAATGGTTGTAAGTGGAGGACTACCTGTAACTATTGCCCAGGCCCAATCACACGTCTCCTCCCAGGCAGCCTTGTCTATCCAGGAGAGGCAAGGATCTAACACAGAGGTGGCCGAACTGACAGCTGTGAGAACCCTGTTCTCTTTCTCAACTTCAGCAGGATTGAACTCCTCCCAGATAATCATATAAGACTCAGCCCTCTAACCTCTACTGGCCCTGCACCAGGGGTGAAATGCTCCCGGTTCACCTGATCCGGTAGCGATGGTGGCGGGTGGTTTGGAGAACTGGTAGCAAAAATCCCTGTGCCCCCACCCCCACCATGCCCAGCTGAGCCGCACGATCATCAGAGGCTTTTTTTTTTTTTACTTTTAAAAGCATTTTTTCTACAACCTCTTCCGATGAAAAAATGCTTTTAAAAGTAAAAAAAAAAAGCCTCTGATGATCGCGTGGCTCAGCTGGGATCATCAGAGGCTTTTCAAAGCATTTTTTTCTGCAACCTCTTGGCCGAAGAGGTGGTAAAAAAAATGCTTTGAAAAGTCTCTGATGATCCCAGCAGAGTTCCCTGATTGGCAGAGAGGCATTTTTTAAAAAGCCTCTCTGATGATCCCAGCTGAGTTCCTGATCGGCAGAGAGGCTTTTCAAAGCATTAGAAAAAATACTTTGAAAAGTTAAAAAAAAAAAAAAAGTTGGCCACGCCCACCCAGTCACATTAACCCCCCCACCAAGCCACGCCCACAGAACCGGTAGTAACAGATTTTACATTTCACCCCTGCCCTGCACCAAGGCTGGAATTCAACACAGCAAACCCAAGCAACTTTATCCACTAGATAATCAGTGTATCCCTCACAGTATCTCTGGAGATAAACTCAGAATGACTCCCTCCAAGGAGGGACTGGGTTACCGGAAACAGGGCTGCTGGCTTGCTATCTGCAGAGGCAATAAAGGCAGAGAAATAATAGTTTTGCCATCTTTATTGCCAGTAGCTAGGCACTAATCGCAGCTCTAGCTCCTGTTCAACATCTTCGCTCTTTGTTGCTTGCCAGTGTCATTCTAGATTGCCTCTTGGACCTCTTAAGCTATTCTGTATATACCAAGGAGAATTCCGGGATCCATTGTGTAGAGGCCACTCAGGCGCAATCCGATCCAAAGCCATAGCTGTTCTCCCATTCCAGGCGGCTATCAAGGGTTCAGCTGGACCAGGGATATCAAACTTGTGTCGTCACGGTGACGTCACGTGACGTATCACAACTTTTCCCCCCTTTGCTAAACCGGGTGTGGGTGTGGCCAGCATGTGACGCATCTGGCCTGTGGGCTGCGAGTTTGACACCTGGACCATCTCACCTACCTCTGTTGTCTTAGCAATCATCACACCTGAGCTCACTGATTCCACACAGCCATGTTAAAAAAATCTTCAGTCACCATTGTTGTGCTCCTCTCAGTTGCCACACAGCCTAACACTGCTCGGTAGGCCATAACTGGTCCATACGGTATTGTTCCACATACCTGGTGCACCCAATCTGATTGTCCAATTGCTGGTTCTCAGGGACGATGGTCCTGTCACAGCAGCAACCCAGAAAAAGATAAACCCATAAATCCCAGGCACCAAGAGCAACACAGCCTGCCCCAAGCTGCAACACAGCTTATAAGAAAAACAAGTTGTGCGGGCTCAACAGGAAGTAACGTCCATCGAGCTCAAAAGATGAATCCAAATTCATTGGAACTCCATCATGTCACAACCCAACTTTACAAGCTGGTTCCAGTCCAAACCATCAACCTGCTACAACACGCTAAAACTAGCTACTATTGACAGACTCTGCAAAATACCTAGCCTTGGAGCCATCTTAAAAAACAAAAGGTAAGCTGTATTTTGAAATTATTTCTCCAAACAAATATATAGTCATTAATCCCCAGACAGCTAAGGAGTTATGAAAACTGGTATCCAATATACCCAGTCAGAAGTGTACCAAAGCCATCAAATGAGCTGGAAAGATTTCAAGTCCAGGATGAAATCCAACTTTCTAGCCATTGTTATTTCTGAAATGTTTGGTTGACCAATAGGGATAGATTGCTTTTTAATGAAATATTTGAACTCTGAACAGGTACCACAATTTTTCCTGAAATAATTGACAGCTTAAGTAGCTTGAGAGTCACAGAGAAAAAGCAAGTGCTCCCTTTTCAACTTTATCTCATATTGCAAACAAGAAAGCTCACTTTCAAAATTCTGGACATTCCTTGAGTATATTTTCTGATCTGACTTTCATACAGCATTTTTATTCTTCGGTGGATAGATCCATTTCTCCTGATTTAATTTAAGCTCAATGTAAATGAGCTCAATGTAAATGAAAAGTACAGTTTTTGCTAAATGTCTATAGAGATTCTCAATCATCCAGGTCATGGTTATCTCAAAGGTGCTTTTTCAAAAGGCAACAAATGGAGTTTGTTTTTCCTTGAAGATGAAAAACTTATTGGATGAGAAGTGAAACGTCTTCAAGGAAAAACAAAATACAGTTGCCTTTTGAAAAAGCACCTTTGGTATAGTTTTTGCTTTTAGGCATCTTCTGAATTATGGCATCTAATTTTTTTTGGCTCAGTAAATCAGTTGGATCCTATGTTACACATGGGATGACTAGATTAGTTTACAATGCAAGGCATACACTTATCTCAGTTAATGTATATGATGGCCTTTGAACATATAATACCTATTAATGGTACAACACTGCTAAGAATGTTGCATTATGCACAAACATGAATATTTTTGTGCACTTGAGCAATCTTATCTATAAAGTTTCTTGAATCATAAATGAAATTTTACCTTTCATTTATGACTCTAAGCAAAATATCCTTAAGCAGAATATACCTGGCAATTAAGGGCTTACAGAAACTCAGGCCTCCAGGAAATAAATTTGGAGTTGCAGATCTGCACTCCTCCCTTGCTTTCCAAGCAAAGTACAGGAAGATAACCTTTCCAATATTGCTAAACTAATAACTACTGCAAGAGTAGTTTTATGTAAGCATATAAGTTTTGTGCACCAGTATAACTTTTGCGGCCTCCAGCGTTTCTTTAGAATGGGAGGAGCACACATTCTGGGGCTGTTATGGAATGGTGCTAGCAAGGCATAAGAGCAAAGCAGGCATTTGCAAATGCTAAATATATTTATTTTTTTCCTTAAAAGTCCCTGAAATCTCAAATAAAATAGTTATTGCTCTATCCTGCAGTGTCCCGGGGTCATGTGATTCCCTTTTGCGACCTTCTGTCAAGCAAAGTCAATGGGGAAGCCAGATTCACTTGACAACCGTGTGACTAATTTAACCACTGCAGTGATTCACTTAAGGGTGGCAAGAAAGGTCATTAAAATAGGGCAAACCCCACTTAGCAACTATCTTGCTTAGGAAATTTTGGGTTCAGTTGTGGTGAAGGACTACCTATATTACCTAGCAGTGGTGGGTTCCTCCCGGTTCCGCCGAGCCGGTAGCGGTGATGATATGACGTCACCGAACCGGTTCTGCCCACCCCGCCTCCCAGCGTTATTCTTACCTTTTATTTGGCCTCACCCCCAATCTATTGCTGCCTCCTGAGTCCCAGCTGATCGGAAAGGCTTCAAAGGGCCGCCCTACAGCTGATCAATGTTAAAAGGCAGTGTGGTGGTAGACCGGTGCCTCCAAAAACAAATGAGTAGACTGGTACAGCTCTGCAAGCAGTTAAAAGCCTGGTAGACCAGTACCTCTGCTAAATCCTAAAGAATTGTCACATGACCATCAAGTCATGCCCACAGGACCGGTAAAAATTTTTAGAACCCACCCGTTACCTAGGCTACCTTTGGTGCCTAAAGCAAAGGTGGACTTTGCCTTTAACAACAACAACAACAACAACAACCCCTCAACAACAACAACAACCCCTCAACAACAACAACAACCCCTCAATCATGATTTTGGGCAGGCTGGGGACAACAGGGCTGCCAACCGGGGAGTCTCCAAGTTCAATGCCCGGAAAGGTGCAGATCAAAGCAGAATAGGTGAAATGGTGTGCAACCCACCAGCACAACTTGTGCACGCTCCAGCAATGTTCTAACTGGGTGGAAGCACACATTCTGGGGCTTTTTTTTGAGTGTGTGTTTTGCAACAGCGCTAAGGCGGCTCAAGAGCAAAACGGATGTTTACAAACGCTAAACGTTTTTTATTTACCCTTTCAGGAAAAACCCTGCAACACAATAGCTGTAGCGCTACCCGCTTTTGGCAATGCAGCCCCACTACTCTGGATCAAAGCAAACGGACAGGCCTCTTGGAAAGGGGAGGGGGGGGGGATGAAAAAAAAAAAAAGGGCTTTCGGGGTTTAGGTCCCAAAGCCAGCCGACCGCAGCGCCCGCGCTTCGGATCGAGCGGTCCCCGAGCTCCGGGGAAGAGCCGGAGGACCCAAGGCCAGACCAAAGACACGTGTCCCTCCCTTGGCCTGGCAGGACCGTGGAAGCGTGTCGGAAAGATAACTTGCCCCGAACTCCACTCGAGAAACCCGCTGCTCCGAAACGCTGCTGGGACTCCGAGCTCGATTCCTCCGCTCGCTCCTTTTTCTCGTCGGGCCGAACTCGGGACCTTCTCGAGACTTGGCACCCGCCGGTCAAGCCCGCCTTTGCGGTCCGAGGAAAGCGCGCTCTCGGCGGCGGCGGCGATGACACGCCTTCGCCTTGGAGAGACCGCAAGGCGAGGACCGCGTCTCACGACCTCGTCCCGCAAGCGCCCGAGGCCAAAGAGGACCTGCTTCGGGAAAGGCGGGAAGGTGACCCGCTCCGCTCTCGCTCCTGGGGTCGGTGACGCGCCTCTGGCTCTCTCCGGAATGAGGGTCGGTGGCGGCTCCCTCGCCCGGTGCGCCTTTCAGGATGCTCCGATTGGAGGCCGTGGTGCGCAGGTACCGCCACGATGGCCCCTCCCACTCCGGCACCACCGGAGGGGTTGGCTCCGACCTCTGGATTTAGCTGGCAGGGCGTGGGGCTTCCTATATCCCTTTCCTAGGGCGCTGGAGTACAAATCCCATACTTCTCAGCCACCAGGGCCGTTCGTCAGCATGGAGAAGCCTGTCCTGTTTACTAATACCTGCTGCGTTTTTCAAATATTTAGAATAAAAAAGTGAACCACTTAAATACAGGTAGTCCTCGACCTACAGCGGTTCATTTAGTGACTGTTCAAAGTTAGCATGACACTGAGAAAAGTGACCGATGACCGTTTTTTCACATTTACGACCATTGCAGCATGCCCTTGGTTGGAAGCTTGGAAACCGGCTCATGTTTATGATGGTTGCAGTCAGTGGTGGGATTCAAATAATTTTAACAACCGGTTCTCTGCCCTAATGATTTCTTCCAACAACCAGTTCACCAAACTGCTCAGAAAGTTAACAACTGGTTCTCCCGAAGTGGTGCAAACTGGCTGAATCCCACCACTGGTTGCAGTGTCCCGGAGTCATGTGATCACCTTTCGAGATCCGCCTGACAAACAGGCGAAGCCGGAGTCACTTAACAATCGTGTGACTAAGTTAACATCTGCAACGATTCGCTTAACAACTATGGCAAGGAAGGTCGTAAATTGGGGCGAAACTTGCTTGGCAACTGTCTCACTTAGCAACATAAATTTTGGGCTCAATTGTGTTTGTAAGTCAAGGACTACCCGTACCGACTACCGTGTTTATATCCTGTCTTTTTATCTTTGTTAATAACTCAAGGCGGGGAAATACCCTGAATACTCCTTCCTCTTCCTATTTTCCCCACAACCACCGCCCTGTGATGTGAGTTGAAGGAGACTGGCAAAAAGTAACACATCCGTCTTTCTTGCCTAAAGTGGGATTAAGTTTGCACAACTTCCAAAGTTTTATAATTACGGTAACTATTGTAATGACGTAAACAATACAATCTTGCATCTATACTGATGTGTGTAAGTATAATAGTCTAAAACAGAAGATGTAGTGGCTTGGGGAATTTACAAATACTATGTCAGGAGGAAGGGCTTTACCAGTCCTTTGTAGGTAAAGCCAAAATGCAGATTAGGATAATTAATATGCTAAAGCAGGAGGAATCATATAAATCAAAGTCATAATGACTGGTATTTGTTAGGTTTATAATCTACCTTTTCCTCCAAGAGCGTGAGGTTGTGCACTTGAGCACTATAATTAGTTCTCAACTTACAACCACAACTGAGCCCAGTTTCAAAATTTCTGTTGCTAGGGAAGATAGTAGTTAAGTGAGTTTTGCCTCCTTTTACAACCTTTCTTGCAACAGATAAGTGAATTACTGCAGTTGTTAAATTAGTAACATGTTGTTAAGTGAATCTGGCTTCCTCATTCCCAAAAAGTGATCACATGACTCTGGGACATTGCAACAGTCATAAGTATGAACCAGTTGCTAAATATCTGAATTTGATTAAATGATCATACGGATGCTGCAACAGTCATGTGAAAAACAATCATGTCACTTTTTTCAGTGCCAATGTAGTCACTAAACGAATGGCTTAGTTGAGGACTACCTGTATTGTAACTACAGGTAATCCTTGATTTACGACTGCAATCGAGCCCCAACTTTCTGTTGTTAAGTGAGACATTTGTTAAGTGAGTTTTGCCCTATTTTACAATCTTTCTTGTCACAATTGTTAAATTACCACAATTGTTAAATTAGTAACAAAGTTGTTAAGTGAATCTAGTTTCTCCATTGACTTTGCTTGTCAGGAGGTCAAGAAAGGTGATTAAATGACCACAGGATATTGCAACCGTCATAAGTATGAACCAGCTGCCAAGGATCTGAATTTTGATCACGTGACGATGGGGATTCGGCAATGGTCATAAGTGTGAAAAATGGCCATAAATTACTTTTTTCAGTGCCGTTTTAACTTTGAAGTCACTAAATGAACTGTTGTAAGTCAAAGACTATCTGTACTCTACTGCATTGCACAACTAAATTTGAATGGAAATCCTGCTGAATTGAATCCTCCAAACCTTTGTGTAAACATAATGAAAACTGAACCCCAAGCAGCTAATTCACATTAAAGGCCTTGTGTAGTTAAAGGGAGAATTAAACGTTTGTGAAGTTTCCCCCTCCTCTCAACCCAGAGGATCAGTATCAATCCTAATTTACTTGATTGTCTCTGGTTAAATTTAACGAAGAAAACATTGGAAGCCAAACAATAGCACTCAGCTAGTCTATCTTTTGGAGGAGCCACACCAAGTAGATAGTTCTGAGTGGAGCACCAGGAATACATCCTGAATCTTTTATTACACAATTAAAATAAATGAACATGGGTTAAAAGTAGACTAAGGATTCCTATATTTATTTTGCTTTACTGTACCATAAAGAATCAGCCTCTCTATTTATGACGCAGTGGGTAATAAAAATGACAGGATGTATTAAGATTGTAGCAATACAGGTAGCCCTCAACCTACGACAATTGAACCCAAAATTTCGGTTGCTAAATGAGACACTTAATTTTGTCACATTTTTACCTTTCTTGCCACATTTGTTAAATGAGTCGCTGGAGTTAAGTTAGTGACACTGTTGTAAAGTGAATCTGGCTGCCCCATTGACTTCACTTGTCAGAAGGTTGTAAAAGGGATCACATGACCCTGAGATACTGCAATGGTTATAAATGCGAGTCAGTTGCCAAGCACCTGAATTTTGGTCACCTGACCCATGGAGTTACTGCAATGGTCATAAGTGTGAAAAACTTGCAGTGCCATTATAACTTTGAACGGTCACTAAATGAAATGTAAGTAGAAGGCTACCTATACTTGCTCCTGCTAGATCATGAATGATGAATGAAGAGACTCCTTTTCAAGATGCAGAAATAGCATTTCTTCATGTATCTTATAAATTTAGTGGCACAAACTTTTCCCATTCTCATTTTAGTACAAACAAAATTATTAAGTGTGCATGAGAGAATATCACAACCAACTATCATTAACATTTACTCGGTATACATTGTTTTGTTACAATGAATGCATGACTTACAACTGCTAAAATATAGCTAACATTCCTGGACAATTTTAATTAAGCCCGAAGAATGTTCAGATCTTGACAGTTTTTACATGAAGTTAGAATTCACTAAGAACTACCAAAATAACCTTGAACTTAAAATGGTTCCAAAATGATTGAAACGAGGAATTTCAAATTTGAACTGTTTTATGCACCTCCATTCTTGACTGATACAAGTGTCTTTATTCAATTTATATTCAAGAATGTTAAGACAGTTAAAACTTTGGGGGAAATACTATTTTAAATTAAATTTTAAAAGGAAGCCCGAGAAGATACAACACTGTTTAACATACAACATTGTATTTGGACAGAACTGATTATTCACTAAGGCTGACATTCAGAATCAGCCTGTGAAATGTCTGGAAGTAGTGATATATTTTATTAAAAGGAAACATCACTTCAGATAATTCTATTACACCCCAAACCATCTATATTCATACATGTTTTTTAAAGGGCTGCCATACATAAAACAGGCAACAAACATTGCCATTGTAAAATAATGGCAGTTCTCTCTTCAAATTTTGTAATTTCCCCAATAAAATTGGCAGAAGTCCCAATGCAGAAAATCAATACCAGCTCTTAACAGTAAAGGGATTTTGCCATTCACCACCTTTGAACCCAAAGGTGGAATTTAAAACATGGGGAAAAATGCCGTTTTATAGAATATTCATTTGAAGCATGTTGGTAGGAATTAGCTTTCCTTCTAAAAGTGTGTTGGTTCTTAAGTTTCACATATATTTTCCATGCATCCCACTGAATTCTGTGGAACTTCAAAAATAAATGTACTTTGGATTCAGATTTAATATAGTGATCAATCAATTACAGGAATATGTAATTTCAATTTAACCATGTCTTCCAAAATGATCAAAATGCTTAACCTGTCAATCATATTCCAGAAGAGCAGACTGGATATTTGACAAAGTGATACTGTTGGAGGGGAAAAAAAGGTATACTAGGTTGACAAATTTTCCTCTGATCAAAGCTATCCATGCAGAGTTGCCAGTTATTGTTGGTAGGCTAATTTATTATATAATGTCTAAATCTAAATCAAAAAGAACTGGGGTAGCAGGAAAGAAAGGAAGTTTTGGTACAGGGCTAAGAGAGAACAGAGATAAAAATATGTGTATGCTCCGATTTGTAGTAAGCTTCCATAGAACAAATCCATTTGGGGTGAACATGGAACTGACACATTTGTTTGAAAACTTTTTCCTCAAATACTAGGCTCCACTTTTCACCATTATCAGTGCAATCAGCTTTCAGTAATTCAATAGTATCTTGGTAATGACTAGGGGAAAGGAAGGAATGTTAAGAGTTTGAATCCAGTGTATTACTCATCAGTAACTCAGTAACTATCTTGATTGAAATGGGTTTAGGTTTGTTGTAGTAATTTGCTCACCCCAAGGAACATCCATAATACAAAAATTTTTGCAACAAGTTTTTTTTTCATTATTTTTGGAAATCAGTACAGTATTCCATCTCAGCGCTCAACTTCCTAAACTGACATTATTCAGCAGCGCTCCCTACAGGCCACAATGCAGAAATACCAAATTTTGCTAATCTGCAGATGTCCATGTTTTTTATGGCCAGTCCTTGCTTTCTGTATGCAAATTTAAAATGTTTATAGGCCAAACTGTGTATAAGGGGAAGGAGAAAAATGTGTTCCAGGTACAAACAGAGGCTAACAAGCATTCATTATGGAATAATGTGTGTTGCAGGACTGATTATACAGTATGTACAGAATGCAGTTCATCGCAAACTGTAATATGTAATATGCAATAAGCCACTAGAGATACTCATGCTCTCATTTTGTCAGTTCATTTGCATGTTTGAAACACAAAATACTTGTATTGCATGATTTTAATAAGAGACAATAGTGAAATCTGGAGGTGGATGATTGTTTCTATGGTCCAGTTACTGTGGTCCTCCAGATGTGATTGAACTTCAAGTCCTATTTTCTGCCAGAATGGTAAACAAGGATCCCAAGCCAACATTTGCAGAGTCATACATTTACAGCCTTACCCAGACGGCTGCATAAATGTATGCTAGACCCTCATGAAGATCTCTGAAAGTAAGAGGTCCAACTTCTGAAGATCTGGATTCTCCATCTTCAAAACTGGAAAATGTGCATGTGACAGCAATGCCTAAAAGATTCCCAAAGACTGGGAGTTGGTTGCAATTTATTAAATATCTTTACCACTTCCCTTGCAAAAGGTTTATATTCTCATTAGGAAAAAAATGAGCAAATTTCACACACTGTTAAGTTGTTCATTTTGCTACCCAATGTGTTTGGCAGTATTTACAGATGCCTTATTTACAAACTCATACAAGGTACCTTGTGAATGATGAATTGGGAGCATTTTTCCCCACCTTAAGCTAACACCATTGTATTTTTTAAACTAAACTGACATTTCTTTTCCCCCGGTGAATTTCAGTAGAAATGACCAAGGTGCAAATATGTGTAATTTTTCCATGCCCCTCCTAAGGTGATCAAATTTCAGGAAATAGCTGTAGGTATAAGATGGCTGAAATTTTATGAATACTCTTTGGGGAAAGAAAACCTTATTCAAATAAGCAAAACTATGTCAAATAAAGAGAGTAGCATGGGCTAATAATTATACATATTTTCTGTAACTTATTCTAAGAATATTTGTTATAAAGTACTTCTATACCCTATTATCCATTTCAAATCCCTTTATTTTTCATTAGATAAAACTTGTGCTGCTTGAATTTTAAGGTGTTTTTTTTTTTAAAAAAAAACAAACCTATCTAAACCTCCTGGGCTTAGTTCTCCTACTGTCTTCTGCTACATAGAATTGTATTCGCATATGGCAGGCTCAAGGTTTTAAGCTAAGTAATTATTTTATGTTAACTGATCTAGCATACGTAGCCCTATCTTTCCCAGTAGACTATCAAGAGTCCAAGAGCTAAGCCTGGTTTATTAGGCACTTTGGAGGAAACTTTCTGAACTCAAAAGTATCCTAAGTAGCCATCACATCTGCTTCTAAGTCTGGGCTACCTATGAGTTGGTGCCTTCTCTTCCCGCTTGCAAAAGGATATTTACACTTTTCAAAGTTACCTCGTATTTCTATTATCATTCGGCATGTATTTTAAATCACAATGAAGCAGCAAGCTCATCTAATACACTGATTTTTGTTTACTTACATTAAATACATTGGTAAATCAGCAGTTGAATTCTGTTACCATGATTTGTTATTTTAAATGCAATATGAGTTTTCTCAGAAGGAAAAAAAAAAGAATTCTGATCAGATGAGAAGAGTAAGTTGAAGAAAAAGGGGGATTGCTCTGTTTAGAAAAAGCTGCAGTGTCCTCACTTGGTCTAAGACCTAATAGCGAATTAGTAAAAACAAGTGATGGGCAATAACTGAAAGAAATGGGTTTGCTTGTTACTTAAATATAAAATCTATTTTTCCATTGTCATGAGCTGAGCACAGTGTAGTATTTCAGCTTTATTGAAGAGGGAAAGGACATGCTTAGGACTCCTCCTGGGTTCTCCATAAGGACTGCAAGTGTCATCATATGCGCATGGAGTCAGAGCACCGTCAACAAAGAAGAGTTTTATAGTTAATGAATCCGCAATTGTAAGATGCCATTTCAGAATTCATGTAGAACTTTGGGGGTTTGAACAAAAAGAGGATTAGATCTTAAACAGATCTCAGGGAGTACTGAAAAATTCTTAAAGTCATCTAGATGATCCCAGATAGCTTTATAAACTATATGAACCTTTCTAGAGAAAAGTCAGATTAAACCTGTAGAAGTAACTGTGTATGTAAATTGGGTGAAAGAAGATGTTACAGCACATGTAACTCTACAGCAAGTTGCTGAATAATTAAAGCTGCAGCCTGGTCTGATTCCCCCATTCATTGTTTCCAGATCAATAAAGCCACGTGTGGAGATAACTAGCCTTTATAATGGCAGCACAACCGTACTGTGTGCCAGCAGCAGTGTCGAGTTTAACAGTTTCCACATAAGGCTACAGGGTGGCCTGGAGTTCAGATGCTAAATGCTCACACTGATTAAGTGGACATTGGTACTTAAGTTACACCAGTGAATGGGAGAAAATGCAAGCCTTTATACAGAATATAGGAGGACATTATGTACAAATACAATATTAAAATGCATGGGCCAATAATAGAGAATTGATGTCCATTGTGTGTGTGTGTGTGTGTGTGTCTGTCCGTCCATGTGTGTGTGTATAAACCCATGTCAAGCTGTTGTTGTAGAACATTCAACCATGTGAGAAATTTGCATGGAGTAAACATCCAAGAAAAGCTCCCTAAACCAGTTCTAGATAGCACCGGGAAATAGTTCCTCTTTAGAAACTGTATTCAAGTTTGAAGCATGAAAAAGCTATGAGCATTTAAAGAGAGAGCATGGACTGGAGGAATATGCTGTTAACTCTGTAAAGGCCACAGTTGAAGAGGGGAGACAGTTCTTATATGGAGAACAGATTGATGCTGGCTATTTGAGAGAAGGTGAAACACTTTGTTTTACAATGTAGCACTATCTACAGTTAATTTATTAAAAAGTTGTTTAGCTAACAAGCAGGAAACTAAAAATCCCAGTGTCACCCACTCCTAAATTATTCATTTTTGCATGCAAGAAAAAAAAACCTGTCAATTTAAACAATTCTCAGGTTTAGAGGCCCTTTAGACAAGTCTTATATGTGAGGAAGGAGTCAGAAGGCAAAAAATGGCGCTTTTCAAACAAGGGAAACATATCAAATACAGTACTAGTCCTCCTGTCACATGTTGCCCAACAAGAGTGCTGCCTTTTTTGCCCCCCGTTTCTCATTCCAACCATATAGCTAAAAACTTCTAAAATCTGCAGCGACCCTTGGGAACTGCCCCTATTCAAGTTTTGCTAAGGACACATGGACTTTTTTCCTTTTGGCAATTTAGAACCCTTTTCTACTTCATGGACCAATGATGTACATATCCAAGGTGCAGGCTAAGCAGACAGAACCTATCCAAGGAGAATCCTGACAGAGGGTCCAAGGTAACAAAGCTAAATTAAGTCTTCTTTGTACCTTGTTTCTACAGATAAGCGATTCTCTTTCTTCATTCTAATAGGACTGACAACTGAATCTAAACAAAGGAGAGACACCGTAGCCTTCTGACTTGAAATAGCAACATTAAAAGGTATACTTGTTTTCATCTCCAACCCCACTGCGCCCTGCCTGTACTGTCCTGGCCAATAAAAATATAAGGCATCAATCAAGAGCAAATGCAAGGGTCCTGGAAAGTATTTCTTATACTCTATATTTATAGCCATTTTATCCTTATATTCACGACACTGAGACAATGGACCACTCTCATACCGTAGCCAGGAAAAAAAAAAAAAAAGCAAATACAATCATCCTTTCCAATCTAACCACAAGTCTCTGCCCTAAAAAAAAAAGTTAACCGAGGACACTGCAGCTTTTCTGAAGCTATGGAAAATGAGTAAGAGAACTCCTAAGAGGATCTTCTCAAATAATTGTGCATTTTTTTTTTTGAGAAAGTCAGTTAAATTTGCTCTTAAAAAATAAATCTCCAAGAATTATGTTTCTCCTTGCTTGTGACTGTCCCCCAGATTATTAAAGAAAATGAAAGGAAAGGGAAGGTGAAGGGTGGTGGTGAATGTTATAGGACTAAGAACAACATATTTTATCAGAGCAAAGACAGCGTGGGTGTGTACGGGTGCACGTGCGCTGGAGGGATAAGAGATGGCAAGGGAAAGTAGTAGTATCAGGGAGAAAACAGAGCAGGGGAATCCAAATAAGTAGGTAGCTATTTGCACCTATAATACAAAGTGAATAAGAGTTTGTTTTTGGAAGTTAAGTCCCCGGTCGGTCTATCTCCACTTTCCGTTGGGTGGTGGTAACAGACGTCTCGTGATGGTTTCTGAAGCGTTAGAAGTGCAGTTAAACGGAGCTCTCAGGAGAAGGGACGGCTTCCAAGTGTGCCAATGCTGTTATTGGAAGGGAAGGGAGGTGGAGTGGGGTAGAAATGGAGGTTATATCTTATCTCTCGCTGCCTGAACGCCACCATTCAGTTGCTACAACACTGGCTCTTGTTCTGCTGGGACTGCTCATGAAGGTCCACACCTCGCCGCCCCACAGCACCCCCTGTGCTCTGGGGCTCACTCTTTGGCAGCTTCTTAGCTGGAAGAAGAGACAAAGATGTTACTGAGGAAAAGCAATTGCCGCGTTTTATCCCACAGAGTTCTGAATAAATAAAATACATTTTGTATTGCAGAGCTCCCATACTGGCCTTCATCTGGCAAATTAAAACTTATTTTGGAAGCATATTTGGGCTCCCTCCTGGATTGCTTTCCTGCCATTGGTTTGCATTACTTGAATTGCTTTATTGATATGTTGCTTTATTCCATAATTCACACATATTTAAATATTAATAATGTATCAACTCTTGGCCTTCTAAAATCGGTCTTCAAAGACAGCCTACAAAATTAAAACACAAAAATCAAAAGTAGAGCAAATGAACTTAAGCCATCCAAATGAGATAGTGTGTTATGAGCATTTTAAATAAAATGGGGCATGCAGAGGCCGAAAACGGGATGCACGGGGGGCCGAAAATGGGTGCACTGAGATGGTGATAGGTGATAGCGGCGATGGGTGGCAAGTTTAATGCCAGTTTCTGATATGAATAAAGAATAAAGAAAGTACCAGTGATGTCAGGCTTCTGCAGCACTGGCTACCCAAATGGTTCCTGCTCTTATATGATCAATTACTGGAATAACAGCAGTGAACTTAGGTGCACTGAAATAGCAGGTTTGCACTGAAATGGTAACTCCAATATTTCCATCTGTTGTGGAAATTTTGAAATTAAAGTTCAAATAGATATTACACTGAATGCTAAAATAGGTATCATCACATGAAAACCAGAATTGCCAAAGGCTCTAATGTTATACTTCTACTAAGGTGGAATTTATAAGGGCACAGTTTAAAACACCCTGCACCCCAATATTCAAACTTGGTTAGCTGGAGGGGGGGGGGGTTTCTCTAGAATTTCTTTTTAAAAACTCGTAATTATTTACACCAGAGCTGCACACTGTATGATCCCAGGGTTGTATACAAGTATATATAAAAGTCCAGGGAATTCCAAAATTGTTCCAAAATTGTAATTTAATTTGAGGGGCGGAGATTATTAAATACATGGTTGGAAAAAATATATCTAAGGCTAAATTAAGTAATCTTACTCTCTGGAGCATAGCTTTCAATATACCACTTAAAAGCTAAGTGCAGCTCCTGGCATCAACAAGCATCAGCAGCATATTATTAGCATATTATTATGCTAATAATTTGTACAGAATAGGCTGAAATAAGAAACTATAATTCACTTGGTAGCACTGAGCAAATCCTGAAGAGAAACCAATAGTCTTTTGCTGCCCCCTGTTAGCTGACTAAGCTCAGAACTACAATTTACAGATGACTTCACCAGTAAAGCAGCTGAGATCCTCAAAAAGCACAAATTCTGAGAACAGTTAGAAAGCATAGCTGGTACCTGTTTCACTTTATCAGGGTGAAGAGCTTGCGACCTGCAGAAATTGCTGAAATTAAAAGCTTACAACCAGAGTGGCTAAGGGTGAGGGATGCTAAAACCTGTAGCTGAACAACATCTGGAGGGCCACAGTTCCCCATCCCTGATCTAAACTGTAGGTCATGACATGTAAGATAAAGCGTGTGGAAATAATTACAAATAGTTCTCATTCTCTTCAGAAAATATTTACATCTATTAAAAAAGGCTAGCTAGAGAATGTTTCCCCACATGTGCTCTAATTAGTAGTTCTTTGCAAATATCTTTAAATAAGAGGCAGGAAGAAATCACATGGAGGAAACCACTATCTATCAAGATGAATAGTTTGATGTGAAACAATCCATCTGAACTTAACGAGCCAAAGCCTTTAGTAAGTATAGGCAATTTTCGATTTATGACCACAATTGGAACTGGATTGTCAGTCATTAAAAAAGTAGTCATGTGACTGCTTCACTAAGTACTGCAATCCTGACACTACTGGTTGTAGTCATTAAGTGATCTCATGGATTGTTAAGCGAACAGAGTGTCAGGTAAAGAATGTGGGCTGCCTCTGAGGGGGTGGGAAGACTCTGGGAGACCTGGCACAGGTCATGCACAAGTGTCTCTTTCCTCTGACGCTGAAAATCCTGCTTGGATTTCGGCAGGAAGGATTTTCAACACTGTAACAGAGAGGCAGTGCATAAATTAAGGAATGCGGAGTGCCTCAGGAGGGTAGGGGAGGCCCAGCACAGGTTGTATGCAAGTATCTCTCTACTCAGGAGCTGAAAATTCTTCCTCTGAAGTCCAAGACTTTCTGAGGAAGCCAGCAGGGAAGATTGCATAGGCGATTACAGGATCACAGGGCCTTTGGCAACCAGTTGTAAATACGAATGGGTTGCCAAGTGATTGTAATGACATGTATGTGCACAGGTGCAACCCTTTGCTACAGTCAGAAGTGCTTTACAGGCCATAAAGCACCCTTTCCAAGGCCAACTGTCATTAAGGGAATAAATCAAGGACTACCTGTAATGTAATGAATGCCTTGCACATTACCTATTGCCAGGAAGAGATCATTAACGTTCATTGCTGTCTTGGCTGATGTCTCCATAAACAATAGACTGTTATCATCTGCATAAGCCTGGGCCTCCTGCAGGACAGTAAAACAGAAAAGAACAAACTGAACTTTAGACAAATTTAATGCTCTAAATTAGACAAAGCAAATGGACAACATTGTTCACTGCTTAAAATATAGAATACAAAATACAATTCCTCAGAATCTGAGGAACTAGAAAGAAAGAGCAGGTTCTCTTTTTTAACAGAACCACTAACGTTGAAATAAATTATTAGAAGCCTATTTCAATCTAGAATCTCTGTCATAATGCCAGATATAAGGGAATATCATACAAAGATTATTTTCTAAGACTGTAGTTTGGAAAGGTAAACAAACTGCAAATGATATCTGAACTTCAGAGTCCATCTTAGATTTAAAATGCTGTATGCACACATATTACAAAACTTTCCTACTGAGATTTACCATACTGAGCCTTGAGTATCACCTAAAAGGGCAAAAGAAAGTAATCCATTTCTCAACCTAGGCTAGATCTTGGGTTGTGAGGATTAAGAGAAAAATGTACATTTTGGGGACCTAGAAAGAAAAAATATTATATACAGTGAATAAAAACAGCTTGCAACATTGTATATTACCATTACTGATTCTATTTTGTTCCCATGCAATCTGGACCTGTTTTTATTTCATTATTAATTTAATAAAAACTATTTCCAGCTGCTTCATAGACATGGAAAGTATTTGGAGAATGGCATGAAGACTATAAAAGTTTTAAGAGTGCAGTCACTACAAGGGTTCATGGGCAAATCAGAAATTCCTCAGTGAAAAATGTTATTTTGAATTCTTATATTTATCATTCTCACTTCCTAGTAAGATTATGTGTGTTATTATGTTATGAACAAGGAGTACGTGGGTGTGAATTGCTGGCCATAACGGTGATAAAAAAAACTGTTAGTTTTAATACTGTACATAGTAATTGCATTCTAAAGCTTACTTTGCATCACAATTTCAAGTACATGAGCCATAATTGTTATCATTTTGAAGTTATTTTTCTTTCAAAAACGATTGAGGGATTCTGTATTCTGTAGATCTGAGTCTTTTTCTTGTTGCTTTACTATCCTTTCTTAAAATTTAATTTTCCTCACATTCCCAACTACTATATTTATACACTGTGACTATTCTGAACTGACATTATGTATGTAGTTCCTTTGGACCAAATTATCAGTGTAAGGGTCTCTTTGAAAGCAATAATTCTCTCTCATGTGTAAAGTACAGCAATAAAGATAGCTCATGGTAAAAGTCTTATATAAAATGTGGCAAATCTGTTTTACGTTAGAGGCATGTAAAGTATTAAAATAAAATATTTTATATATAAAATATAAAATATTAAAATAAAATTATATATAAAATTATATATAAAATATAAAATATTAAAATAAAACATTTGCAAGTATATTATACTTTCAAGGTTTTTTTGGGGGGGGGAGACACCCTTCAACTCAGAAACTCTAAATGTTAATCCTAGTTATCTCTCACTAAAAGGACACAGCTAAAAGATATTTGCCTGAGGAATCAGAAAGCCAGAGTCAAAAATATAAACATGGTGGTCCCAAATTCTGATTCAGTATTAACTTAGCCCAAGAGTAGGCAGCCTTATTCTTGTCCAAAAGCTAACAAAAGGGCAAATATAATACAGAATGGAGATTAAGTCATGGAATTCCAACTGGATAAATTGGAAAACCCTCAACTATCTAACTTTTCTTTCATCAAAAGAAAGGCAAAGCTAACACCATTTACCTGGACATATGTTTTAGCCTTGCAGAATTATAAAAGCTACTATCTTACTATGAGCAAAATAACTTGTGTTAAAAGATAATCTTAATCAAAAGATATCACTTACTTCATATTCTACCATGCGCTTGTTGGCAAGATCAGCCTTATTTCCTGCTAAGGCTATAACAATATTTGGGCTAGCTTGCCGTTGGAGTTCTTTCACCCATGTTTTTGCTCGTGCAAATGTTTCCTTTCAGAAAAGACAGACAACAGAATATCAGAAATGCAGACAAAAGAAAAATGTATTTCTAAATTACTATCAAGCAATATTTCAGAAGTTACTCAAACTGGCTAATTTTCATGGAATAAAAGGAGACCTTCTGGATTCAAAGGAAGGTATAACTACTTCAGCATTTCATTTCCCACAGTGGCCAAATACCTCTAGGAAGCCATGAAAAGATGACGCCACAAAGGTAATATTCTTCTCCTATTATTAATCAACAGGGAGTCCTCAATTTATGACCGTAATGGAGCCTGCCCATTGCGGTTTAAGTCATGATAGTTGTAAAGCAGGTCATCATGTGACTGACCCTATTTTACATTTTTTTGTGGTGGGTGTTAAATGAACCCATTGTTCACCATGTCCTGCTTTTGCGAAAACTCAGAGGTAAACACCATTTTTGGGGGGGCAAAAATGGTGGAAATTGTGATCACATGACTATGGGCTGCTGCAAATAGCCATAAATGTAAGCTACATGCCAAGCGTCCAAAATGGAGTCTCATGACTACGCCCTCAGAACTTTGGAACCAGATTGTTAAGTAGCTTTTGGGAGAATTGTTAACTTCAAAAGGTTGCTAAGCAACCAGCTATAAGTCAAGGACTACCTACAGCTCAGATCAAGTGGCAAACTGTGTTTTTTTCCCTTTTTATTGCATTATTACAAATCTTGATATGTAAGTAATCCTTCACTTCCAACTAGTCGTTTAACAATGGTTGAACGTTACGACAACCTCTGAAAGAGTGATTTTCATCCTCTTCTCACACTTATAATCACTGCACTACCTCCACAGTCACATGATCGCAATTCAGGTACTTGGCAACCTGCTCACATTTACGACTGATTGCATCATTCTGCAATCTTGCAGCATGCTGTGGTCACATGGCCACAATTCGCAACCTTTCCAGCCAGTTTCTGACCTGCAACATCAATTAGGAAAACTGGATTTGCTTAATGACCATATGATTTGCTTAATGACCATATGATTTGCTTAATGATCATGCTGATTCACTAAACAACTGTAGTAAAAATGATTATCAAATCAGATCTGGTCACATAATGGCTCGCTTTACAAGTACACTAATTTATAATGGAAATTCCAATCTCAATTGTGGTCATAAATCAAGGACTACCTGCATTATATTATTTCAATCCAATGACATTTAATAATATAATGAAATTCTTATTATTCTGTTATATAGATATCACATAACACTGGAAATAAAGAAAAAAGAAAATGTATGTATTTTTTCAATGTTGATTGTAATTTAGGAAATCAATGATTACAAGTATAATTTTTTTTCAAAGTTAAATGTTAACTTTGTTAACAAAGTTAAAGCATTGGAAAAGACGGAAAAAAACAATACACTGAAACATATAGTGCATTCAAAAAATATTCAGATCCCCTTCACTTTTGCCAATTTGTTATGCTGTAGCCTGATTCTACAGGTTGAAATTCATTTTTTTCCTCATTAATCTACACTCAGTACCCCATAATGACAAAGTGAAAACAGGGTTTTAGAAATGTTTGTAAATTTATTAAAAAGAAATAAACCCTGAAATATCACACTAATTTGAAATGTTTGTAAAGATTAAGGCCCCCTTAGAAGCCAAACTATAGGTAATTATATTTGCAGTGATATGTGATATATGTTGTATATATAGGGGAACCATTCTTGCTTAAATTTAAACTTGTACTATGTACATGTATTGTTAGTTTGCCCTTAGTTTTATCACATACTGGCAGAATTGTATCCTTCTTTGAACACTGAACACTGGGTTTTTTTCTGACATAGTAACTAAATGGAAAAGTGGATTCATTTCAAATTTAGCAAACCCTTCCGATAAACAATACCCCCTCCCACCATATCTGCACACTAGCAAACAATAAAAACTTACTTGGTTGGTTATGTCATATACCACAATGGCAGCCTGAGCCCCTCGGTAATACATTGGAGCCAAACTGTGATATCTTTCCTGACCAGCTGTATCCCAGATTTCAAACTTTACCGTTGTATCATCTAGACAGACAGACTGTGTGAGGAAAGCCGCTGTAAAACAACAGAAAGTCAGTTACTGAGATGAGAACGTAACAGGTACAATCCTTTATATTTAAATACAAGATTACTAAAGCTGTTTGTTCATCAAATTGTTGGAGGTCATTTTTGAATGCCTATCTAATTATGTAAGGGGTAACTGGTACAGGGCTATACACAAAAGTGAAGGGTGTGTTAGACTTCTATTCTGCAAGCAAAGTTTGCTAGAGCCCGCTAGACAGGTAGAAATCATATGACACAGCTTCCTAGGATTAAATTATTTCGAAGTAAGATAAAGAAACACATGCCTGAAAATTCTCAAAATAACAATATGAAGAAAAACAAACTTTCTGCCCATGTCTCTAATTGGTACTGAATTTTAGATCTCTTCCTATCCTAATTACCAACAAAAAACATCTTAACATTTAAATAGTATTTTTAAAGGAAAACTTAGGTTTTAATTTGCAAAAATGTAATAAGTTCATACATAAACAATGCTTATGAAGGCTTTTGATGACTCAATGCTCAAAAAGATAAAAAGAAAGTTTTTAATTGCTTTGCTAAGCACCCTAATCAAAGCAATTATGGGAAAGTTACTGAGTTATTTTTACAAGTTCATTATTTTAAAATATAATTTTAAAAAGCAGTGAATAGCTTATCACTCTATATATAGCTTTTTATAGACAAAATAAAATGTTACAGTTATATAGCACACATTTTAAAATGGGGGTTGTTAAACTGGACTCAATGATATAATGGCTTATTGTTATTTGTTTATTTGGAGTGCATTCAGAAAGTATAATATGAAAATTTTGATATTCTGTTATATACAGTTGTGCTCATAAATTTACATACCTTGGCAGAATTTACGATTTCCTGGCCATTTTTCAGAGAATATGAATGATAACATGAAAACTTTTCTTTCACTCATGGTTAGTGTTTGGCTGAAGCCATTTATTATCAATCAACTGTGTTTACTCTTTTTCAATCATAATGACAACAGAAACTACCCAAATGATCCTGATCACAAGTTTACATACCCCAGTTCTTAATACGGTGTATTGCCCCCTTTAACATCAATGACAGCTTGAAGTCTTTTGTGGTATGTGTGGATGTGGCTTTGTATCTTCTCAGATGGTAAAGCTGCCCATTCTTCCTGGCAAAAAGCTTCCAGGTCCTATAAATTCTTGGGCTGTCTTGCATGTTTGAGATCTCCCCAGAGTGGCTCAATGATATTGAGGTCAGGAGACTGAGATGGTCACTCCAGAACCTTCACTTTATTCTGCTGTAGCCAATGACAGGTCAACTTGGCCTTGTGTTTAGGATCATTGTCATGTTGGAATGTCCAAGTACGTCCCATGCGCAGCTTCTGGGCTGATGAATGCAAATTGTCCTCCAGTATCTTTTGATAACATACTGCAGTCATCGTGCCATCAATTCTGACCAAATTTCCTGTGCCTTTGTAACTCACACATCCCCAAAACATTAGCGATCCACCTCCGTGTTTCACAGTAGGAATGGTGTTGACTCCTCTCCAAATGTAGCGTTTATGGTTGTGGCTGAAAAGCTCAATTTTGGTCTCATTACTCCAAATGACTTTGTGCCAGAAGGTTTGAGGCTTGTATCTGTGCTGTTTGGCATATTGTAAGCGGGATACTTTGTGGCATTTGCGTAGTAATGGCTTTCTTTTGGCGACTCGACCATGCAGCCCATCTTTCTTCAAGTGCTTCCTTATTGTGCATCTTGCAACAGCCACACCACATGTTTTCAGAGAGTCCCGTATTTCACCTGAAGTTATTTGTGGGTTTTTCTTTGCATCCCGAAAAATTTTCCTGGCAGTGGTGGTTGAAAGTTTAGTTGGTCTACCTGACCGTGGTTTGGTTTCAACAGAACCCCTCATTTTCCACTTCTTGATTAGAGTTTGAACACTTCTGATTGGCATTCTCAATTCCTTGGATATCTTTTTATGTCCCTTTCCTGTTTTATACAGTTCAACTACCTTTTCCCACAGATCCTTTGCCAATTCTTTTGCTTTCCCCATGACTCAGAATCCAGAAACGTCAGTGCAGCACTGGATGAAGGATGCAGAGTATGTAAACTTTTGATCAGGGTCATTTGGGTAGTTTCTTGTTGTCATTATGATTGAAAAAGAATAAACATAGTTGATTGATAATAAATGGCTTCAGCCAAACACTAACCATGAGTAAAAGAAAGATGTTCGTGTTATCATTCATATTCTCTGAAAAATGGCCAGGAAATCATAAATTCTGCCAGGGTATGTAAACTTATAAGCACAAATGGAGCCATCACATAACATTGGAAATAAAGAAAAAAGAAAACGTATGTATTTTTTTCAATGTTGATTATAATTTAGGAAATCAATATTACAAGTATATATTTTTTTCAAAGTAAAATGTAGCATTGGAAAAGATAGAAAAAAACAATACACTGAAACATATAATGCATTCAGAAAGTATTCAGACCCCCTTCACTTTTGTCAACTTTGTTATGCTGCAGCCTGATCCTACTGTTGCTGAAATTCATTTTTTCTCATTAATCTACTCAGTACCCCGAAATGACACAGTGAAAACAGAATTTTAGAAATGTCTGTAAATTTAATAAAATGAAAAAAAATTGAAATAATCAGTGTATTAGACTGTATCTCATCACTATCCCACTGAAATTGTTGACAATGAGAAACAGAATACTTTGGGATGAATTAGGAAGCATAAAAATAAATCTTGATGTCCTAAGGGAGGCTATGAATTAATATAGCAAGGGCAGCATCTAGAGCCGTGATGGTGAACCTATGGCATGTGTGTCCCATATCAGTGGGCATGCGAGTTCAGTTCCGCTGATTTTCGGGCCTTCTGGGCCCACCAGAAGTAGGGAAACAGGTTGTTTCCTGCCTCCGGAGGGCCTTGGGTGATGGTGGGGAAGGCCCATTGTTCTCTCTCACCTGGCTCCAGAGCCTTTCTAGGAGTCTGAGGAAGGTGAAAACAGCCCACCCCAGAGGCCCTCCAGAGGCCAGAAACAGCCCATTTACCAACTTCCGGTAGAACCGGAAGGCCCGTTTTTTGTTCTCCCCAGCCTCCAGTGTCTCTCTAGGAGTCTGGGGAGGGCAAAGCGGCCTTCCCCACCTCACCGGAGGTCCTCCGGAGGCCAACAACGGCCCATTTGCCAACTTCCAGTCCCACCGGAAGTTGGCAAACGGGCCAATTTTGGCCTCCGGACTCCTAGAGAGGCTCTGGAGCCAGGTGAGAGAGAAAAACGGGCCTACCAGGCCATTGTATGCCAGGAACGGTGTGTGTGTGTGTGTGTGTGTGTGTGTGTGTGTGTGTGTGTGTGTGTGTGTGTCGCACGCACGGGGCCCATATAATTATGGGTGTGGGCACGCATGAGTGCGATCCTCCACCCCTCCCTTCCTAGCACGCGATGGCAAAAAGGTTAGCCATCACTGATCTAGGGAGTATTTAAACCAGGGGTCGACAATTAATTTTCCAAGGGCCCACATGGGAAACTGATAAAACTGTTGTGGAGGGGCATTGCCGCTCGTCATCCCACTCCGTTGCTGCCCCCTCACCGCCACCCTGAAGCCCCATTCCCCCCCACCCCGCTGCCACAGACTGAACTAGAATCCCTCATGGACCGCGTGTCGCCCACGTCATAATATGCCCAGGTGTGATCTAACGTTTTAGCTATATATGTTCCTCCTTGGAAAAAGAAAGACTACATGCAGAAGCCTCCTTACCTCCAATGGTGCTCTCCTGGTATTCATGGAACTGCCCCTTGACAAAACGCAGCACCAGGCTGGACTTGCCTACCGCTGATTCACCCAACAGTACTAGCTTGAATTGGCAGATCTTGCTGGCTTGCGACTGCCCATTCGGCCTGGCAGCTCCTCTGCTGGTCATGGCCTAGACTCCAAGAGCAACGGGTGCTCCAGCCAATGCAAAGAACTACCACCGCTGACCAGAGTTTGACACGCAGGAATCTTTTGCCCCACCTGCTTCGAACAGGATGACAATTTCTTCCAGTACCAAGTAGCTGACTTCTGAAATAAGAAATAGCTTAATTAATGTTTTAATCTGTGAAGGGGACCAGAAAGGTTTGAATTTGGCTCTAGTGCAAATATATTAAGGATGAGTTGGGAGAACTGAGTAACAAAATTACTTCAATGTAACTTAAGTGACATTGAGATAACCAGATTAGTTTTTCCATGTATGAAATGAAAAACGCAACTGCAAGCTGCCTAGAGTCACCATGACCAAATAGACAGCTGTATACATTTTCCAAAATAAATAAAAATAAATAAAAGAACTTGCAAGCACAGATATATTATTCTTTCTCCCTTGTTTTATGTGTAACAATGTTTAGCCCATAAGCAGACCAGACCATCCGAGCCAATTAAAATTAACTCAGCAAAAAAGCAGATTAGATTCTTGCTTGTATTTTACCTAAGCACCACACATAGGAATCTAAACTCTGAAGTCCCAGTGCCCAATCTTTAAGAAACAAATTATTTTTCAAATGGACCACAGCAGAAACCAAACCTTTAAAAATATCAGCCTTCCATAGTAAAAGCTAGAAAGAAAGCACCACCATGTGTGTGTTGAATCTCTGTGATCAATGAGTCAGCAACACATGCAGATCTCTTGCTTGCTTGCATTCCTTAAGGTGTAGCAAGCAGCTCTTGGCATGGAATGTCTGTCACATCATGTGATGACCAGAGAAAGACCTAAAGGACTACATCATTGAACTCGGACAAATATTACATTAGAACAGCGCTTAACATCTCGGTGTCATTAGAAATCTGGCCAAGATTTATAGGCAAACTGTCTGTGCAAACTTCATTAATGTAGAAAGATCATTTTTCATCATTTTTTTTTCAGGCAAATTTTTCTCCATACCCAATCTGATTTAAAGATTAATGTTTGCATTGGAATAAAATTAATGACATATACAGAAGCTGAGCTTTGCAAATTCCTAGGGACTTCGTTATTACAGAATTATCTGAGAATAAATTAGATCACAACTGTAAAGTCCTCAAAATCCACCAAGAAGCTCCAGTTTCCCACTGCATTCATCTGACACCACTAAGACATACATTTTTCCCAGAACAAACTGTTATCTTTGGCATAAATAACCACATATTAAATTAACTGAACTTGCTACCTGCCCAATTCTTTCTATTTTAAATTCTATTATTGTTCTGTATTCACAAACAGAAAAAGAAACCAAATCATAATGAACGCTTAGAAAAAAAAACATGAACTTCTGACCCCCAGTAAGTCAACTAGCATCTTAATATGTCTACACTGAAGGGAACTCTATGGTATGATTTACTGTATTTTTCGGAGTATAAGACACACCTTGCTCCCCCCTAAAAGGGGGTGAAAATTTAGGTGCATCTTATACACCGAATGTAGCCCTGCCCACCCCCCCCATCCTTTGGCCTCTGCCTCGCAGCAGTTACCTCCCTGCAAGCAAACAGCAAGAAAAAACAGCTCCTTTCAGCTTGAGCACAGCCTAACTAGCACAAGTTGATTGGATCAGCCTCCCAACTCTCAGCTGATTTGCTCTCAGCTGTTTTGCGCAGGGCTCTGCTGCTTGCTGCAAAGAGGTAAATTGCTGGAGCAGATTTTTTTTTCCCTTGTGCTAATCAAGCTATGCTGAAAACGAAAATAAAAGTAAAAGGTAGGTGCGTCTTATACTCCGGTGCGTCTTATACGAAAAATACGGTACATATGATGCAAGATGTGTTTAGAACAGAACTTCTCTGCTTTCTGCTCTTTAGAGTCCACTTGAAGAGAAAACTAAAAATTACGAAGGCCAGGCAATTCCTAATATGAAAAGTATAGGAAACTATTATTGAAAGAAATGTTTAGTAAGAAGAAAACTAATCTATTACTTGCATGCTTTCTTTACCTTTTTGATCTCTTCAATCTTTTTTCAATCACATTTCAAGCTATTTAAAATTCTTTTTCTATTGTCAGAATGGAAGCAAGGAGGCAGGAAAAAGGTATGTCTCTGGCTCTGCAAAGCAATGCTGAACCCAGTTCCATTTTGAGAAATGCTGGCACAGTATGCTGTACAAATTCACCCACTATAATTTAGCATACTATTCAAACCAAACCATTAAGGCCTGTTCAACAATGGCTTAAATTTCCTCTGCATACAAGTATACAGGTAGTCCTCAACTTATAACCACAATGGAGCCAGAATTTCAGTTAAATGAGACATTTGTTAAATGAGTTTTGCCCCGTTTTACGAACTTTCTTGTCAGTTATTAAGTGAACCATTGCAGTTATTAAATTAGTAACCCGGTTGTTAAGTGAATCTGACCTCCCCATTGATTTTGCTTGTCAGAAGGTTGCAAAGGAGGATCACATGACCTTGGGACAAAGCAATAGTCATAAATATAAGTCAGTTGTCAAGCATCTGAATTTTGAACATGTGATCATGGGGATGCTACAAAGGTCGAAAGTGTGAAAAACGGCCATAAGTAACTTTTGTATCATTGTAACTCCAAACAGTCACTAAATAAACTGTTGTAAGTCGAGGATATATACCTGTATATATTAAAATTATATATCGATAATATATAATTTTATTTATGTATTGCTTTATTTTTTATATTTACTTACTTCTGATTATGTGCTCAATCAAGTTGTTATTAATTCTAAGCAACAGCATAGTTTTGGTAAGCTTATTTATTGTATTAGATCATAAACAATGGTTTATGAAGCACAATGGCTGAATTCCCATTAGGTTTACAACATATTAAGTTTTAGCATTATGCTGATTACAGTATAAATTGTGTTTAGATTTTCTGAGGGTTGTTCATTTTCCTTTGTATATGTGAATGGGAGCAAAGAAGTCATAACTTGTTCTATGACAAGGATCTCATTCTTGAAACCATGTTTTAATGTTCAGTTATTGATTGTAGTTGAGATTTGAAATAAAATAGAAATGGGCTTCAAGGCTTATGGTTGAGATATGTTCTCCACCAAAGCAACCCACAGAAATACAAGACAGGAAAAAGCTAAAGAAAGGAGGAAAATGAACTAGGAACTGGCTGAACAAGTTTATTATTTTGCTTATCTGCAGGACTGATCCTGGCTCTGCAAATCATAGTTCAGCACAATGCATGAATGCAGCCAATAAGTAACTTCCATATATCATCTAGATCAGGGGTATCAAACTGGCAGCCCACAGGCCGGATGCATCACGAGCAGGCCACGCCCACCTCCCATGAAGGGGGAAACGTGATACATCATGTGACAGCAACATGACACGGCAAGTTTGACACCTGTGATCTAGGTGCTTTGGATAGAGATGTGCAGTCAAGAAATGAAAATCTACCAACAATTATGAATTCAAATTTTCTAATAACAAGATTCTACTTGCAATGTAATGGTAGTTTGGTGTAAGACTTCTGAAAATGCAGAATATACTGTAATATTTTGAAATGTGGATAAATTTTCTTTGGATGTATGTTCTCCAATATTTAAGAATTTATTCCAAAGTTTCATTGGGAGCAGTAAGATAATATAAGGGGAAACTGTAAGCCAAAACAAAAGTACAATTACCATCAGACAATGAAAATAATACTAAGACATTTCCTGACTTTAAGATTTTTGGAAATTACTCATGCAATAAAACATTATAACATTGGAAATATTAAAAAGAAATATTTGAAAAATGGAGCCAGAAACTATTAACTACAATATCAAAATTGTCAGTAATGATGTCTGCTTCTATGGACTATATTTATTTATTTATTTATTTATTTATTTATTGAATTTCTATACCGCCCTACTCCCGAAGGACTCAGGGCGGTGCACAGCCATGAAATAAAACAATATCCAAAAGAAGTTAAGGAAGGAATGACAGATGTGGGAAAAAATTATCTAACAAGACAGAGAAAGTACCAAAAGTGGAACTACAAATGACAGGCGAAACGAATGATTTTGAAAATGATGTTTTACTGGATATATAAAAGAAACTGACCACAGTTTTAAGAATGAAAGGGGAAATATAAATGATGAATCAAGAAATGACTTGGAAAATGCCTTCTTAGTGGATTTACAAAAGAGGCTTGTGAAAGCCTTGAAGAAATCTGGGTGATGAGATAAAAAAGAATTGAAATAAAATCCTACGACTATATTTGATTGAGTTAAAGATTAAGACTGTTAACAATAAAAGAGTTTATTTACTGTTAAGAGTTTATTTATTTAATCAAGGTTGAACTAACACTATTAGGTCTTGCAATCCTTTATGGACTTTTTGCTGGATTGAAAACTTAATGTTTTATGGATTTGATATAGATAAAGGATGGCATATGGAATGAAGAGATATCTGTTTAACCTTATGGAAGTGAGGAGTTATTGTGTTTATCTCTGTTGTGATGAAGATTTCAAATCACTTTATATAATACCTTTCTTTGTCTTTTTTTGCACTTATTTTTCTTTTTTCTTCTCTTTCTCCAAGTTTAGTTTGTATTAGTTTTTAACGTAATCAAAACTCTTAATGTTTTTTAAAGGAAATTACTCATGTAGCTTTGTTTTTGCAATTGTGGCCTGATTCATACAGTGCATTAAGCTCTATTCTTGTATAGGGTGTTGCATAAACTCACTGTTATAATTTATTAAAATTATATATAGCATAATGTGGAAAGCCTGTTACTATGAGATTAATCTAAAAGTGGAGATCAAACCCAATACAATATTCAAGCATTGTCAAAAAACTGCTGAAATTACAACTGACAAAAAACCCTAATATGTAATTTTATAGTAGTTTTTTTTGCAGGCTACAAATAAATGCACTTTATTTGGAAGCCCTTTTAGCAAACACAAATTATGGATAGAAGCATTCCAATTTTCACATTCATTTTGTGCGCTTGACACAGGCTTCTGATTGGCCACATTGCTGGACTAGATTGATCTTTGATGGGATTCAGTAATTATCAATGGTATTCTTAGCTTACTCTGGTCAACTCAGTGCATTCTATATAGATTATTATATTATTACATTATAATCCATCTATTACTT